AGGGCCGGTCCTGTGGCTTGGTGGTTGAGTGCACGGGCTCCGCTACCGGCGGCCTGGGTTCAGATCCCGGGCGCGCACCCACGCACCGCTTGTCAGGCCATGCTGAGGACGCGTCCCACATACAGCAACTAGAAGGATGTGCAACTGTGACATACAACTATCTACTGGGGCTTTGGGGAAAGAAAAGGAGGAGGATTGGCAATGGATGTTAGCTCAGAGCCAGTCTTCCTCAGCGAAAAGAGGAGGCTTAGCATGGATGTTAGCTCAGGGCTGATCTTCCTCACAAAAAAAAAAATAAAGCACGTGAGCCTCCCTGACATCGTCCTCAATGGAGCTGCCGTTCAATGAGGTCCCCAAAGCCTCTGTTTCTTGCACCCCTCTGTGCCTCATGGGGGCAGGCTGAATGCCACTAGAAAAGCCACTCTGAAGGTAAGTGGGAGTCTGTGGCTGGCCGCAGGAGCTCAGAAGCTCTGAGCTTGGGGCATATCTCTTGCCAAGTGGTGGAATCCTGGGGTCTGTTAGATTATGCTGGGGGTGACTCTTCTAGAGCTGGGCTTTGGCCAGAAAACTGGCAGGCTTGTCAAGTGGCCTGTTGGCTGTTCCTCCTCCAGGTGTGAGGTTCCTTTGAGGCTTGTGACAGCATCAGCTGAGTAGTTTTTTGTTTTTTCTTCCCTTCCTTCTTCTCCTCTTCCTCCTCTACCTTTTCCTCCTCCTCCTCTTCTTTTTATTTCTAGTGCAAGATTCTTCTTTGGCATCACTGCCCACATTCCTGGTGGCTGGAGGAAGCCTGGCCTTCGGAACGCTCCTCTGCATTGGCATTGTCCTGAGGTGAGATGGGTCCCGGGGGGTGGCCCTGTGATGTTCTCATTTTCTTATCTAGCTAGCTTTGCCTGTGCTAGGATGGTGGCAGTGGGTTGGAGAGCCATGAATGGATTCACGATATATTTTAGAGGTAGAATTGACAAGATTTGATGACAGATTAGATGAGGAGAAAGAAGGAGAGGGAGGAGTCATCTGACCCTCAAGTGTCTGGCTTCAGCAGTTGGGCAGATGGTGGTGTCATTCATGAAAACTGGAAACAATAGAGGAAGAAAAACTGAGTGAAAAGCAATGACTCTACTTTGGAACCATGGGGTTTCAGGTGCCTGTGAAAACCCCAAGTGGACATGTTTGGTAGACAATCCAGCTTGTTGCCAGCATGTAGACGGTAGTTGGAGCCATGGGAGAAGATGGGGATAAGGCTGATGACAGTAGCCTGTGGAATTCCAGGGTTCCAACATTGGAAAGTCGTGTGGAGGAGGAGGAGCTGAGAAAGAGGCTGAGAAGGAGCGGCCTGAGAGGGAGGAGAGGAACCAGGAAAACCTGGTTGTGAAAACGGAGGGAAAGAGTGTGTGTTAGATACTGAAGAAACACCCTAGGCTCTGGGATTGCAATGCGAATATGACTTTTCCTCTCCTCCAAGAGCCACCATACTAAAATGATTAAAGTACCACAGAGAAGTACCACAACAGAAGTATGTACACAGGTAAATCTGAGTTGCCTGGCCAGACCTCCTTGGGAACATTCTGTGTCTCAAAACAAGCAGACCTAGAGCGTCACCTTTAAACGCTCTCTCCTAGTGCTCTCCTCCAGCCATGGTTGGGAAACACTCAGGCTGAGCTGGCGCCCTGGCCGCTGTTGCACTGTGCTCTTCATCTCAATCCTCTCTTTTTTCATTTGGTTGTTGCTTTTGTCATTCGTTCCCAAGGATGCAGAATAATCAGCTAACAGGCCTCCCAGTGAATGGGCAGTAAAGAAAACTTCCAATGTTCATGACTTTACAGCAGGAATTTGCAATTTTACATATGCTGAAGCCCTAAAACTAGTCAGGCTGGGCCCTGACTTTGGGCAATGGTTAATTACGATGATAACACAAGTAGAGGAGAAACTTCCCTCTGCCCTTCCTTTCTCTTACCTCATATGTAACTTTCAAGGCACTCTAGTTGGTGATTGTGAGAGGTGGTCTTTGAGGGTGTTTGGTAGAGAGCTTTCCTCCCGTTAGCTCATTGGATCCTCACAGTGACTCTGAACTAGCTCGACCACCAAGGTGGTCTGGGTTGGAAGATTATCGAGATGACAACTCAAACTATGTTCAGGGTTGTTTGTACTTTGATTCTCCAATGATGTAGTGAGCAAACTGTCCAAAGGGTATGCAGAAGATAAGGTTCCTAGTGAGTGGAGGTAGCTCCTTGGAGGAGCCTGTATACCTTCTATACCTTTGGGCCAATGCAGGCCATGCCAGCATTCAGGAGTCTTCCTACTGCCTTCTAAAGGATTCCTTGCCTCACCTCAGGCATATACTTCTGTGTTCTGTTTCTATTTCTACAGCATTAGGGCTTCAACAGGCCTTTCTCATAACTTACCACAGATCCTATGGAGTCAATATCATGATTTCCACTTGACAGATGAGGAAACTAAAGCTGAAAGAGGTGGAGTGATTACAGCTAGTAAGGGTAAGGCTGAGATTCAAATTCAAGGCTCATGCTCTTTGGATAGGGCTTTAGGGGTCATTTAGTCAAATTCTTTAATTTTACAAATAAGGAAACAGCCCTGAGAAAGTAAGATGACTTGCCCAAGGACACACAGCTTGTTAATAGCAGAGCCCAAACTAGAACTCATGTCCTGAGAGTCCCTGCCAACTGTCCTAGTTGTCTGTCAGCTAAGAGGTGGGCCCACTTGGTTCCATTAGTCCACCATTGGCCAATGGCACCATTAACAAGCAGTGCCATCTTGGCGTGCTGTTAACCACTAATAGAGAAGCGTTAGGTTGGGAACTGGCCACAGCACTCATCAGAGACCTAGTCTGCCAATCTGCTGATGGTGTTTGGACACTGGCGGGTTGCTACACAACCAGAGTTTCTGGAGGCACAAACAGAACAAATGCCCTGTGCTGAGAACATATCAGTAATTTATTTCCCAGCCTGGTGAGTTTCCATTTTCTCCCGTAAAGGCAAATTTACTTGAAAGAGGCCAATTATTTAGACTCCCAAATTCCCTCATATCAAGAAAAGAGTATAAACTTAGAGACGCCGTTGGGGTTTGGGGTGCCAGCATGGCTGAACCACAGATGGCCACGTTACAACAGGCAGAATGTGACAGGCAGGTTGAAGTACATCCTGCCAGTCCATGATACTATATTTTTCTTTTTAATACATTTATTTTGTGTCTCAAGCAAAGCATAATATTTCCTAAATATTTTTCCAGTAGTATCAGTGATAATTTTAAAAAGTTTAAACATGCCAGGGGCCGGCCCCATGGCTTAGTGGTTAAGTGCACGCGCTCCGTTACTGGAGACCCGGGTTCAGATCCCAGGCGTGCACCGACACACCGCTTGTCCGGTCCTGCTGAGGCGGCATCCCACGTACAGCAACTAAGAAAGATGTGGAACTACGACATACATCTACTGGGGCTTTGGGGAGAAAAAGGAGGAGGATTGGCAATAGATGTTAGCTCAGGGCCGGTCTTCCTCAGCAAAAAGAGGAGGATTAGCATGGATGTTAGCTCAGGGCTGATCTTCCTCACACACACACAAAAAAATTTAAACATGCCATTGAAAAAGGTGTGCCATCTTCTTAAGTGGATGTTATAACTATAGGAGCCAGTTCTCCCCACCCCACTTCCTATGCCCCACTGATTCTCTCTTTATTTTTTGCTATCAGGCACAGGGAAAATAGGATTCTCATAGCAGAGAATTCATTTTCTGCGCATTTGTATAGAATGGACTTACACTATTAGGTGAGAACTTGCTATGTGTATGCCTGTGATTTAAATCATTTTGTATCGAATGTAGTGTCTCATTCCAATGTTTAAAAATCACAGACTCTCCTATCTCCACAGTAGGGGCTGGGAGGGACTTTCTTTCTTTCTTTTTTGAGCTGTTTTGGCCTGTTACTGCTTTTTTTAATGCTATTTTTTTCATTGAGGTAACATTGGTTTATCACATTACATAAATTTCAGGTATACATCATTATATTTCAATTTATGTGTAGATTACATCATGTTTACCACCCAAAGACTACTTACCATCTATCATCGTACACATGTGCCTAATCTCTTTCACCCTCCTCCCTGCCCCCTTCCCTTCTGGTAACCACCAATCTAATCTCTGTCTCTGTGTTTGTCTGTTGTTGTTTTTATCTTCTATTTATGAGTGAGATCATACGGCATTTGACTTTCTCCCTCTGACTTATTTCACTAAGCATAATACCCTCAATGTCCATCCATGTTGTCGCAGATAGCAAGATTTCATGTTTTTTTTTTTTTTTATCTCTGAGTAGTATTCCATTGCGTATATATACCACATCTTCTTTATCCATTCTTCCCTTGATGGACACCTAGGTTGCTTCCAAGTCTTAGCTGTTATGAATAAGGCTGCAGTGAACATAGGGGTGCATATATCTTTACGCATTCATGTTTTCATGTTCTTTGGATAAATACCCAGCAGTGGAATAGCTGGATTGTATGGTAGTTCTATTCTTAATTTTTTGAGAAATCTTCATACTGTTTTCCATAGTGGCTGCACCAGTTTGCACTCCCACCAGCAGTGCCTGAGGGTTCCCGGGGGACTCTCATGGTGTCCTAGGCCACGGAAGTGGCTGGGTGCAGAGGGTACCCTTGTGGCCTTGGGGGTGGGATCACTTCCTCTCGTTAGGTCTTAGTTTCTACATCTTATTTTTTTAAAAGACTAAGGGTTATTATGGGTGTTTCAAAAATTTCTTTTAGCTGTAGAAGCTTTTCTTGAAATAAAACATTCTGAAGCCCAAATATGTAAAATAGATAAAAGGTAGAGGCTGAGGTGCAAATGAAGTCTGACAGCTCAGCTCTTTGTTCCTTCCACCTGCCTGGCACCCTCTCCAGCCCCAGGCCCTGCTCAGACCCCTGCCCAGGTCAGGGCAGTGCCAGGTGTAGACACCCACAGGCTGCTGGTTTCAAAGGCCTTTTGAGCTTAGTGATTTTTCAGAAAAGGTCTCATTCACTCCTCAAAATATTTCAAAAGCAGGAAAGCTTATCTTTCTCAGTTACCCATCCAGTTGCTTTGAAAAAAACTGAGGACAAGGACTGCTTTTCATAAAGATTAAGTAATGTCAATAGAGACGTTATGTGATATATGATTACTTGCTAATTACTGGCAATTTGCTAAATACTGACAAATAGACAGAAGAAAAAAAATCATGCATTATCCAAAGACAGCCACTGTTAATTTTTAAAATGTAAATGAGATCAAAGACATACAGAAAAATGCCCACGTCATAAGTGTACGGTTACATGACTTTTCACAAAGTGAACACACCCATGCAATCAACACTCAGATCAAGAACACTTTATATTTAGATGAATTTCCTGAGTCTTTTTCCTCTGCATAGTTTCTTGTTTGTTTTTATGTAACCATGATTATTCTGTATGTACAACTCTCAATCTTGCCTTTTAAATTTAGCATTAATTATAAGGATTTTTTCACATTATTACAAAATCTTTGTAAACCTCACTTTCATTAGCTGCAGTCTTCTCCGTTACGTGGATATACCCAAGTTCACATAACCAATCTCCTATTATGGGGCATTAGGGTTGTTGTTTTGCTTTTATAAACAACACTGTGTTGAACATCTTTGTGCATAAAGCTTTTTCCATAGCTATGTTATTTCCTTAGGGTATAGTCCCAGAAGTGGAATTCCTGGGTCAGAGGGTCTGAATATTTTGAAATCCAGAGTGTCATGACTCTGTCCTCTCATGAGGGAGGAGAATTCCACCCAGGGACACTGCATAACTCCAGTAAGCACCCCTGCTGCTCTCCCTTCCTGTGTGGTGCCTGAATAATGAAGCCCTGAGTAACATTTTGAGATTGTTTATTCCATTTGGATAGCAGGCTAAGAGCCAATGACAGATTTGGAGCCAAGTATCAATAATTTATCATAACAAGGACAGGAATAGCCTGTCGATATAAAAAGAAATCCAAGGAAAATCCCTAAACCTTGTTTTTGACAGTGGCTTCCCCTCCTCCCTCCCAGCCCTTCCTGGAGTAGCTGACACTGGTGGCATTGAGGGAGACCACCTTGCTCCCACTTTGGGGATTGTAAGCAGTAAGTTAGGAGGCACCAAAGTGGGAGGCAGGAGGGAGGAGGTGAGCTGCCCTGGCAGAGGTGAAGGGCCCCTTCAGCAAGGAGACCTGACTACCTCTGAAGATTGCTATCACCATCTCATCTTTCTTTGGGCTGTCAAGTGACTTTTCTCAGTTACTGAGCCCTGGCTTTGGGCCCAGCGCAGAGCAGTGTGAACGAAGCTGTGATCAGAGAGATGCCTATCTCCTTCCTGTTTAACATCGACTTTCCTGTCAGATGAGTCACTCGTGCCCAAGTGGTGCCCACGGCTGGGTCTGTGAGGACTCACCAGTGTGGTGGGAGTGGACCCGGAGGTGTAGGGAGAAGTGGGGAGGATGGGACTGTCGGAAGTGAGAAGAGCAGGGGGCTGTTGAGGGAGCAGTGCAGCCCTTTTCTTGCTATTAAATGGCTGTTGCAAATGGTCTCCCTCCTGCTGGCCTTAATTTGATTGAGAGACCCATTTTCCTTCCCCACTAAAATAATCCTCTCTCTTTGTTAAGTAAATGGATTTGGGACTGATGATGTATACCTATGGGCAGCCTCTGGAACACAACAAATTACGTTCTCAGTGCTCTAAAGGGACATTCAAGGCCATGCCTGCCTCAGTTTCCCCATTTGTAAATTGGACCAACAATACATATCTATACGCTTGGGGTGTTTTTGAAACCCCCAGCTCTTCAGAGTATTGTGTAATTCCTGATGACAAAAAACAGGTGACGGAATACATAGTTATCACTCTTTTGAGCTGAAATCCGGGAGTGCCAGCCCACCAGGGCTGCCAGCTGTTGGTGTTTTTCACTCAGGTTCATCACGGGGGAACTAAACATCTATGTGGCTTGTCTTTGTGTGTCTGTGTGAAGGTTCAAGAGGACATGGAAGCTGCAGGCTCTGAAAGAAGGCAAGACGAGCATGCACCCGCCGTATTCTTTGGGACAGCTGGTCTCCGAGAGGCCCAAGCCCACCCCAGTCCTTGTTCCCCTCATCTCCCCACCAGTGTCCCCCAGCAGCCCTGAGTCTGACGACACCTCCAGGCATAGCCAACCGGATGCCAGGGGCCCACAGAGTCCTTATGACATCAGCAATAGAGACTACTTCTTCCCCAGATAGCTGGCTGGGTGGCACCTGGCAGGTTGGGGTGTCAGACCTGCTGAATTGTGTGGATGACGAAGCACAAGCTGGCTTTAGCAAAAGACGCTTCTCACTGCCATTCCAGCTCATCTCAGGTGCCTGGGGCCTCCGGCTTCATGGTTACAGAAGGGCCTCACGGAATGTTCTACGCTGGGTCAAAATAGGTCTGCTGTGTCTGTTTAGAAGGAGGAGGTGGCTGAGTGTTTGGAGCACCCTTCCCCAAATGCCCTGCTTACAATGGTTAGAGTGAACTCAGGCCCTGTGAACAGAGTGGTGTCAAGACTCCACTGGACACTCAGGTGGGCAGAGCCGGGTGGCCGCGGAGACCTTGGACTCCCCTGGCTTGGTGTGGACAAGCCGCTGGCTGCCCGCACACCCCGGCAGATCACCGCAAGCTGTACCCTCAGGCAGGTGGGATGGATTTCCCACCAAAGACCCCCTCCAAGTCACCTGTCTCCTGGCCCACTGCACAGCTTCAAACTCTTGAAACCCACATGCCTTCGCAATTCTGTTCTTCTGGGCCTGAGGACGGCGTTTCTTAAACCACGGAGGCTGTGGAAGCTCTCGCCTGCCTTTCTTCCCCTCACCTGAAAAATAGTGGAGAGGGAGGTAAATAGTATCTCAGGGGCTGATGGTTTGAAATGGAATTATGATTAGTTCCTCATTAGCATTTTGCTAACTGTGAATGATAATCCTGGGCACTTGCTGAATCCAGAAGCATCTGCACTGGCTCAGTTTCTCTCTTGGGATCCCAGGACTTCAGGAGGAGAGAAACAGAGAGGAGGGAGGGGAATGGGGACAGGGTCCCAGGTTTGTAGGAACAGAGGTGAGGGGGACCTGGCCTCTGAAAACCAATATTCTCTACCCTCTCCCTCCTCCGCCCCCCAAAAGGAGACTTGGCGTTGGGGGCGGTGGTTCTGCGCGGTTCTGCGCCAGTGAGATCAACACTGTGTTCCTCCAGCTTTGCTTATTTTGTTTCAACTGAGCCTGAGTAACTAGGGAAGATAATATTTATGTGAAAAGACAAAAGAACCCGGCAAGAATGTATTTTAATTTGGTGTTTAAAAAACTGCTGACTATTTTATCTCCAGGGTGGAAGATCCCAGTGTTAGCCGAGTGTCGGTATATAAATAACTTGGGGGAAAAGCACAATAACTTGGTTTAGCACAAAACTGAGTCAAGTGAAAAAGGAGGAGGAGAAAAAAAGATTTTCCCCTATTAGAGAAGAGACTCTAGTTTCATTCTAAATTTTGTTTTTGTCTTAAAAAGCGAAAAAGTAGTCTGCCTCTTCTCTAATTTAGGGGAAAAGCAGCTTGGTAGTACTCCCCCAGGCGGCTGTGAAGGAAACGGTGTCCAGCTCCCTGTCTTAATGCTGGGAAGCGAGCCTCCCACGACTGCCAGTTGAAAATCCCCACCGCTGAAAGCCATGAGCCCTCCGTTATCAGAGGGAGATTCATTTAAAAAAAAAATCCCTTAGCTTGGTGCCTTCCTCTTTTGGTTAGTTCCTGGAATTTGATTCAGTTCAGCTGGTATTGAAGCACCTGCTAAATATGTAGCCGTGACTTCGACTAACCACTTCAGCTCACTACTCTGTCTAGGCTTTGAAAATTCAGTGACGTTAGTGGTTACCCAACCTAGGACCCTCAAGTATATGAGGTGTCTCAGAATGAAGCTGTGATGAAAATCAGTTGTGTATCCACCGACTGAAAATTTACCAGATCACAAAACTTTTGTAGGAGTCTACCCTTTTAGAAAAACCCCCACCAGCACCAGACAGGTGGCAAAAAGATGAAAATGACCCTGTTTTATTTGTTTGCCAGGTTCAGACTGTTACTATCGTGGGCAGGTAGTGATTTTCATTGCTGGCTTTGTCTGTAAATTTCAGACCCCGTTGCTGCTTTTGTCAACTCATCTTAAGTTGACAAAAGTTAGGGAGGTGGGTTTTTTTTTTTTTCTATAATGTTTCTTTGAGAACAGCAAAAATGCAGTTAAAGGGAAATATAAAAAATGAGAATCTGCATGAGAAAGGGTGATTCTGTGCCCACGGTTCTTTACCTCTTCACAAGTTTTTACCCACATGTAATATCACCAAAGCCAGGCGGAGCCGTGCTATGGGGAGATGTGAAATCCAGATAGCTCATTATTGCTGAGAGCTAGGCAGCTTTGATCTCCAAATTGTTATTGCTTTCATTATTATTGTAACGGAACTGCTTTTTTTTGTAGTGAAGAGGGTTTTTTTCCCTTTATTTTTTATAAGCTAGTAGAAATGAAGGAAAAGTATTTGTCTTCTCTGGGTTGTAGGCCTTGCTCACTGTACATGGGTGTACACCCTAAGCTTTCTCTGTCCTTGAATCTATGGTCAGTGAACATGTGTTTCAAGCCACGGGTCATTCTTACCTGTGTTTCTGCAGCCCACGGGCTGCCTTTTATCCTCAACAATGTTACTCACCTGATACATCCCTGTAGCAATCTGCCACACAGCCAGATGTGAAATGTTGGGACGGCCACAATTTATATGAAACATGACAGCTTATCCTGCTGGGTGGGAGAAGTTGAAAATATGCTGGTTCAAGATCTAAATTAAAGTGGTCATTAATTCTTATAGCATTAATGAAATTAAAAAAATATCGAGGGGGTAGCATTGAATGTGTCTCCAAAGCCTTTGGTAACTCCGAGAGCTCTTGGCTCTGATGGGGTCCTGCCCTTGTGGTTTGTTCGCCAGGCTCTGGGCTCACACCGAGACTCCGCCATTTGCCTGCTGTCCCGGAGAGGATGGAAACACCATTTCAAGGTGTAGAATCTGCTGCTGGACCCGGGTTGGGAGCCCACCTGGTGGTGAATGGGGCAGGCTGGGAGTGGTCCTGGTTTGTGGGTTTCCTGCAGAATGTTCAGAAATGTCTTGCCCAGCTGCTTTGGTGCTAAGCCTCATAGAAGGCACTTAGATTGACCCAGCTGGGGAGGAGTCTGACACCCAGCTCCAGGTGAAGTTGGTGACAAATTTATCTTAATTTGGAGAAACAGGGCCAACCGGTGGTCCTTTCGAGCCTGAGCACTGAACTCAGTTTTCCAGACAGCAGTTGGCAGTGGCACTGTTGTGGGAAGGGCAGGCCAGCTGGCTGGGGTTCGGTGCCAGATGCTTCTGAGCGTCCCCTAAAGGACCTTCCAGCATCATGTCCTCGGTGTGGCCTGACGCCAGCGCCAGTGAGTTTCTATGGCAACCTTAATGATTATTAGGGAACATTGTCAGTTTTATAACATATGCTCAAACGAAGATCTACTTTAGAAGGAAAAGATTGGAACAGCATGTTGCAGGGCTGTTAATTAATGGAGAAACCATATTTGGATGGAGAGCACACATCTGTTAAATAGAATACCTCAACTTTACATTGTTTTTTTTCCTAGAGAATAATAGTTTTAAGTTTTGTTTTTATTTTTTTACCTAATTACCTGAAAGCAAATTCCAAAGGCTAATATCTGTATATGGGGCAAAAGGGTCAGTATGATGTGTTTTTCAATGTTTTTTCTTTTTACCAGCTATTTTGCATTTAAAGTGAAAATTGTAAGTGTTTGAAATAAATAATTTCTAAAAATACGCTTGAGAGGTAATTACGTTTTGGGCACCTGGGTCATTTAAAGGAAAGACTTGCATGATTAGTGAGGGGAAAGGAGTGAGGAAAGATGGGGTTTAAAATTAAGGAGGACAGGCCGGCCCCGTGGCTTAGCGGTTAAGTGCGTGCGCTCCGCTACTGGTGGCCTGGGTTCGGATCCCGGGCGCACACCGACGCACCACTTCTCAGGCCATGCTGAGGCCATGTCCCACATACAGCAACTAGAAAGATGTGCAACTATGACATACAACTATCTGCTGGGCTTTGGGGAAAAAAAGAGGAGGAGGATTGGTGATGGATGTTAGCTCAGGGCCGATCTTCCTCAGCAAAAAGAGGAGGATTGGCATGGATGTTAGTTCAGGGCTGATCTTCCTCACAAAAAATAAATAAATAAAATTGAGGGCCATTTTGGGATGAGCCTCCCCTTAATGCATGATTAAGTTACTTCTGGAAAAAATCAGATAAGTTCAAGAAATAAGTAGCCATTTCTCAAAAGACTTTAATTATGAAAGTATTTCCCAAAATGAGTCCTGGGGTTTCTGGAAGGGGTGGGGTGCTTCTGTCACGTTTACCATCACTACCAGGTGATAGACGTGTGGGGAAGGAAAAGGAAGGGTCATTATTCACTCAAAGGCTGTTTATTGGACAGGGGGTTGTTAACAGTATCACAAAGACAACCCTGCATTCTTGATCATCAGATAGGCTGAATCTGTCCCCTATTGAAACGGGTCATAGGTAGGAGAAACTTGGGACGCAGCCATCCCACATCTTCCAAACAGAGGAAAGCCATGGTGTGGATGCTTTGTGGATAAGAATTGCTGTGTAAACAGTTCAGGGCTGGGGAGGAGGAAACTACAGGGAAGCCTGGAAATTGTGTAACTCAGACTGAAAGCTGAAGTGTGAGGCCCCCGCCGCCCGGCCCCCCACCACAGAGTCAGGAAAGCCACAGGACCGCACCTATAGAACCCACCGGCTCCTTGAGGACACCACGATCTCTTTTGAGGTTGGTCTCTGTCTTGCAGAAAGCAACACAGGAAACAGATGTCCCCCAAGGTGTCTAGGCTGTGTGGGCTGCGCAGAGCGGGTGCAGGAGTGGGCAGAAGGAGCAGGAAATGGAAGACGGTGCCTCCTTCTCCACAGCATCACTGTTAGGATGACATGGTTACGATGCTCTTTCCAGAAGAATTTGGGAGAGCAGATGGTCTTTCTTGTAGAAGATGGCAAGGAACACTCAGCTATTGGAACAGCCACTTAGGAAAGCATTTTCCTTATATATTGAGGCGCAAGGAGACCAAACCTTTCTCCATGTCTGTGAGAAGTACAGGTCAGAGGCAGGAAGCTGTTGCCGTCCTGCAGGAGCAGAGGTGTGCTGTTGAAAGACCTTAAACTGCTCACACGCAGCACGGCTGTGTGCAAAGGTTGGGCTGGGGGCTCAGGGTGTGTTGCTTACGCAATTGTGAGCAATGACAGCGAGCCCTGCACCATCCTTCAGATGCTGACCAACCCTTAGTGTCTTTATGCAGGGCCTCATCTTCTGCAGGTGTATGTCACTTAAGAAAACAAAACCAGACAAGAACATCTCAGCCATGTCCTGTTTCATACCAACAGTTTGAGGTGACAATCCAAAACATGAATAAAATTTTTTCGGTAAAATCGTGAAACACTTATACTCTAGGTGTATGTAATATCCAGTTAAGGGTGTTTCTTCTTCTAAGATAACTTCAAATTGCTTAGTAAGGCTGCCCAATGTCCACAAAGAAAATAGCTTACTGTGTAATGGGAAGCTGCATTTTAATATTTCATTACGCTATTTTAAAGAATGAACTTTATCAGGAGGACAATTGTATCCTATTTTGGTTTTTAAATTTATGCACTGTGCAATAAGGGTTTGACAATGATGAAGGGTGTAAGTGGGACATCCTGGAGTCCATGCCCAGCAACAGATGAAGGAAGAGGTGGAGGAAGACAGCATCCTGCACGCTCCCGCTCGTGCGGGCAGCACGTTTATCCTGCAGAGCACAGGTGTCCATTGGTGTACAATGGACGCACCACCATCAGCAGGGATCCCAGTTCAGTCTGATGTGGACCCCAGAAAGGTAAGATCCCCAGATGGTTCTGAGGAAGGTGGTGATGAACCCCAAGGGTGACTATGAACCATGATGGTTTCTATGATGAGGTGGGTGCTGTGGGGCCCTCATTCTTCAGGACTTGGTGGACTTCAGTGGATCCTTTCCACGGACAGGTCTCAGGATCAGGAGAAGCCCAGGCTCCAACCTCAGACCCTCTGAAGCACAATAGCGGCTGTCTCTCTGCGTGAGTGTAAGTTCCACAGGTTATCCTGCTGTGCAGCCAGCTTTGAGGGTCTCTGTGCTGGGGACCACAGGGCTGGAGGCGAGATTCTACAGCAACATGTTACTGCGGGTATTAATCGGGAAACAAAATCTGTGGGAAGCAAAGAGCTACGCCACCAGCCCTACTAGTTACCTAGAAGTCCACTGTCCCTTTTAGGTCGAGATGGTCTATTAAAATTAGCTAATAATAATGGCTACCATTTATGGACCTTCCACCACGTGCTTTACGAACAGGATGTTCTTTCTCCTCCTAATGACGCTGCAAGGTAAGTGTTTTCACCTGTTTACAGATGAAGCAACTGAGGCTCATATTGCTGAAGACAGTGGTCCAAGATGCCGGAGCTGTTAAGAGGCTGAACTAGACCCCAAACTTCGGTCTGCCTCGCTTCAAGGCCGGTATCCTTTGCCCTCGCCATGTGGGCCTTTAGCCACTGGTGACTACTACCTGGATGGGCCTCTCTTTCCAGCCCCTTTCCCAGGTCAGGCGCCCTCACTTTGTGCTGGATGAGGCCCTGGCCCAGTCACCCCTGGGGGGAGATGGACTGGACTCCTCATTTGGTTGGGCATGCCTGTCAGTGTGTGCAGGGGCTGGAAGCTGAGTCTGAGCCCACAGACAAAGGCATGTCCCCGGGGCTCCCATGGGAGGGCCTGAGGCAGCCAGACCCCACTGCTGCTCACATAATAGGCAGCCACAAAGAAGAGGGGTCACAGAGAGGAGGGGCAGCAAGCAGTTCCTTACTCTCAAGGATCCTTGATCAGAAACCACATCAAAGCAGTTCCCCTCCATCTATATGGGCCCACACCCCTGACCTCTGCATGAATGATTTGGTTTTCTCCTGTTGCTTCCTTGGTATATACTTCAATGAACTTCCTTGAAATCCTCAAATTGTGCTTTACGGAGTGGAAACCTTATTACGTCCACTCTGAAAGGATGAACGGTCACCACACTGTAAGCAGTGGTTCTCTCTAGGCGGTGAGATGCATTCAAGGAATGTTTACTGAACCGCTGTCCTGGCCGTGGTGGGTACCAGAGGAACCAATCCCTTCCGCAAGATGCTGGCAGTCCACCCAGAGAGCCACACAACTAACGAGCAAATGCTGTCTCTGGGAGCAAATGACTCATGTGGTCTAGGGAGTCAGGGAAGGAAGGAGTAGAAATATGGAAGTAGAGTGAAGATGGAGGAGGAAGGTTCCAGGTGGAGAGAGGCTGCACAGGGAGAGGGTTGCCAAGAGCTGCTGGTGGGGGCGGAGTTGGGGAGGAGGGGGGAGGCGTGCCTTGAACTTGCACTATGTTGAGCAATTTCGCCATATTCTAAGAGCATTAGGAAATCACTGAAGACCAGATTTGTTCCTTCTTTTTTTATGCATAGCACTTAAAAATTTTTTATGAACATGGATATTTTAACAATTAAAGAAAACTTTCCATAAAACAATGATAACCCCTCTATTTTGGAATAGTTCCACCACCTTGTACTGCCTATGAAATATTGTTCATTAAAAAGTGCAAGAAATAGGTGGGGATTGTAGATAAAATTGGCTACGAGACAGTCATTGTTGAAGCTGGGTGATGGGTACAGAATGGTTCATTATATTAATCTTTAAAAAGCCTTCACATTCTCCATTTTAAAAAGGGCGAGGATTTTAGGGGGAATGTTTCACTTGTAAACATACCATTTAAAATAATCCAAAATGAATATAAACTCATCTTTCTTAACTGTCCTTTAATGTAAACCACAATTCTCACTTGTCAGCAACACACTGGTTGATACCTTGATAAACTAATTGGCTTTTATATGCACAAGTAATACATCTTTCCCTCCATCCAAACTAGTAATCCTGTTTGTTTATGCACGTAAATCAGAAGGCAATCTGAATCATTAAAAAAACATCACGTAGGAAGCATTTTAAGTTTGAATCAAGATGATACAGCAACTCATTCTACATGATTCACGGTGTGAGGGAAGTAATTCTGGTGCTATTTGTGGATTTTGGAAATGATCATCTACATGTCTCAGAGTGAATCTCAATCTATAATCGTACGTTGATTATCAGAGCTTAAACTGTCTCTCGGGACTTCAGACGAGCCGGATCCATAGGTGGAGCCCCTCCCAAGCAGGGGAAAGGATGCCTAGGCCCTCAGACGTGACCTGCCAGACCCAGCACAAGGTCGTCCTGGCTGTGGGGATGGAAACCTCAAACCCATTTCCTATTCCCCCTGCCCTGAGTCCACGTGGCTCATCTACGGGGAGAGAACACATTGGTCACACATAGCAACCTGGGTGTCCAGGCTGCTAGATGCATTTTCACTGTAAGATAATAGACTGGCATTGCTTTTTTTTTTTTTTTTTTTTTTTACTGTGGTAAAAGACACATAACATAAAATTTGCCATCTTAACCATTTCTAAGTGTACAGTTGAGTAGTGTTAAGTATATATTCACATTGTTGTGTAAACAACCTCCAGAACCTTTTCATCTTACAAAACTGAAACTCCATACCCATTAAACAACAACTCCCTGTTCCTCCCTCCCACCAGGCCCTGGCAACCACCATTCTGCTTTCTGTTTCTATCAATTTGACTACTCTACGTGCCTCATGTAAGTGGAATTGTACAGTATTTGTCGTTTGTGACTGGCTTATTTGACTTAGTATAATGTCCTCTAGGGTCATCCACGTTGTAGCACGTCAGAATTTCCTTCTTTCTTATGGCTGAATAATAACTCCATTGTATGTTATTACCACGTTTTGTTTATCCATTCATCTGTCCATGGACATTTGGGTTGCTTCTACTTCTTGGCTATTGTAAATGTTTTTTTTAAACTTTTTCATTTGCTAATTAAAACCAGGTGGCTACTTTATCACTACTCGGCCCACTAGTTTGACCAATTATATTCCTCAAATGTGAAGAATTCTGCGGGGCGGTATACTCTCTCGAAGGGAAAGTACAGGTACAGCCATTCAGAGCCGCTCTAGAATTAGACCTGAGCTGCAGGCTGGGCTCTACCACTTACTGTGTGACTGACCCAGGACAAGTCATTTGACTGTTCCAAGTACCAGTGTCCTTATCTGAAAAATGAGGCTATTGGCTGGCTCACTGCGCGGTGGAGGATTCAAAAGAGATAACGTAGCAGGAAAAGCATTTGTTCAGCAGCACACCTGCTGCACAGCAAGAGCCTGTTCTCATTACTTACATCTTGGCCCCTCACAGGGTCAGAATCCTGGGCTCTTAAAAACGTGTTCAGGGGGGCCGGCCCGGTGGCGCAAGCGGTTAAGTGCGTGTGCTCCGCTGCGGCGGCCCAGGGTTCGCTGGTTCGGATCCCGGGCGCGCACCGACGCACTGCTTGGCAAGCCATGCTGTGGCAGCGTCCCATATAAAGTGGAGGAAGGTGGGCACAGATGTTAGCCCAGGGCTGTCTTCCTCAGCAAAAAAAAAAAAAGAGGAGGATCGGCGGATGTTAGCACAGGGCTGATCTCCTCACAAAACAAAAAAAACAAAACAAAAATGTGTTCACCCTGAATTCTGAAAACCGCTATTCAATTCCTCAGGGGCGGGGCGGTGGGGTGGGGGGGAAGTGAACATTTCTCAATGTAAACTTCCCTTTCTGTTAACACAGATGGAGAAAAAACAATAGGCACTTGTACCACCTGGTGGCAATTTATGTAAATGTTCAATGGAAATTAAACATTTGATACCGAAAGACTCCATACTATAGCATTCTTCTAGAACCTCAAATGAATGTATTTGCGCGCTTCTAAATAGTAGTTTCCAACAGTGGTTCTCAGCCATAGCTGGGTATCAAAATCACCAGTAGAGGTTAAAAAAATACAGACTTCAAGCTTCACGACAGACTGAAGCATCAACTCCCATGGATGGGATGGGACCCAGGCGTCTGTATGAATAACAAACAACGATAAAAACAAACAGCCACCACTCTGATCCCTAGTCAGGGCCCAGGACAAATGTAATAACTGTCTATTCAGGAAGATGGCCAAGGAAACAGAAGTAAAACTTCACTGTGTTACTGTTTTATTTGGGAAGGAAAACATAATAGGAAGGCTCTAAAGGTGAACTGAGAAAAAAAGTTAAGATCAGGTCTGCTGGTTATGTTCAATCTCAGTTTATTGAAACATTTCATTAACAATGATTGCAAATGAAACTTCTGACCCTCTCTGCCATAGCTCTTACCACAGGAAGTTTTTCTTTTTTTAATGAAGAGAGGTGATTCTCAAATCTAATTGAATCAAACAGAAACACTGATTTTCTTGGAATAATGTTTATTTAAAGTAACATTTCAGAGTAAACCATCTTCAAGAGGGCATGCAGCTTATATTGGCTACTGCAATACATTCAGAAATTTTATAAAATCTTTCTGATATAATATAAATTACTAAAGCACTACAGATAGGCACCTGTATTACATACAATCTTCAAATATTTTCAAAAGTTAGAACTATGTATTAGCTGATATTTAAAATTGTTAAAGCCCCCTGACAAAATAACTGAATGGTTAAGAACCTGACAAAATGAGATGCCTGTCTCAATTATCTGCTGCCAGCACGTTCATGAAAATACAATTAAAGATTCTAAACCACACAATCCAGCCATAGTCCAGGGGCCTCGTGACAATAGGCGTATTAGGTTGCAAATCACCCGTTCCGCAGGAAAGTACAGATTTCAAGATGGCAACTGCTGTGTCATCATTTTTCCCCCACTATGGACTGTATCAGAAATCCTTTAGAAAACCCTACCCTAAATGTGCTGTTTTCCCACTGCAGTTTTCTCTCTTTCCATTAGATGGCAGTAACGCACCATCTCTCTCTACGTGGTTAGAAATTAAGGAGGGTAAGGTAAGGCCTGAGTTTCTCTAAGTCCAAGTTAATGGGGTACACAAATTGGAGACGAGAAGAAAAAAGAGGGATTCTAAAGAGATCCTGAGGCCAAAATAGTGCTGGCTATGGCAAATAAGGAAGAGACAACTAATGAATGAGCGACATCTGTGAGAAAGGTATCAAAGAAATTCTGCTCAATATTTAAAGATGCAGAGGAGATGGGAAATGAATCTAGACACCTTTGCTTTTTTCCCCCTAGACTGAAGGAAAAATGAGGCATTAACTTTTGACCGAAAAAGGACATTTTAACAAAATAGAAAGCCTACCCTCATTGAAAAAGCAACTGAAGAATGTCTCAAACGCTCAGTTCTTCTGAATTAAATATTAAGATTTACTCACTAACAATGGCCATTAACAGAGTAATAACATAGTTAAATACTCCAATTAACAAACTAGGACTATTTCCCCATCTGTCTCAAAAACTTTAGGCTGTCCCCACAGATTATTTGCCCTCCTCCCCATCCTGCGGCCAAGGCCAATAAACGAAAAACAATTCAGCAAAGTATGGAGACTTCAATCGGCAAAGAATAAAGGCTCTTTTTATAAATGTTTCTTAAGAAACTACTTTGGATAACTTAAAAGGATACTTCTGGCCCCATAGAGAGAAGGCATATCAATATTTACCTTTTTGTACACATATTAACATTTCTCTATTATTTTATTCTTACTTATTTAAATACACACAACTCCAATGGTTGAAATCCATCCTGACAGAAATAGCTATGGTAGCAAAGTAAACAGAAACGTCCTTTTACCCTCTGTTCTTATAGGCCTGAAATGAACCAACTAAATAAACTCATCTAGTAATCTGGAGCAAAGCATTTTAAAAAGGAGGTGTGAAAAAGGAAAAAGAACAGACGCGGGAAGCTCCACGGATGCTAAATTCAAGGCCAGTGAGTACAAATTTGCTAGAAGACATTATTCTCTCCAGAATCAGAAAATATTCTGGGAGATAGAATTAACCCACAAGAATGAAGTCTATAGGAAAATACTTGTATTAAGACAAAACGACAAAAAGCCGAAGCATTCAGAGATCCAAGAGGAAACATGTCATGGGGCTTCAGATCAGCTGGTCCAGGAGGCTTAACAAGGAAGCCATTAGGGACACCCTGCTGGGCCTAATTGTTTTTAGAACATATGGTACTTTGTGCCACCACCCAGCTATGAATTCCCTGGCTTTTGTCAGCTTGTGTCACAACCTTAAGAAGAAAATAGTAGCTTAACCCTCCTTCTACTAATTTACCATATTTCTTATTATAACCTCCTGTACAATTGTGAAGGAACTGGACTATATATAAACTCCACATTTGCTCCACTTTTAATTATATAAAGAAAATAGCATGAGTGTCACAGAAAAACAGTATAGAGAAAACACAATACTGAGCATATGATAGAAGCTCAATAAATACTTAATGTATCAGGTCTGCTTTCAAAATGTTATTTCATTATACATTCATCACAGTTGCTGGGTATGGGCCAAAAGTCATTTAGTGCACAAAGAAAAATTTTACAAAGCTTTCAGCATTTATTAAAATTAGGATAACTGCTGTATTTCCTTTGTAGAATAAGTTTAAGTAAAAAATAAGGTTTCACTTCTAGAATGTTGAACTAAAATAAGTAACAATGAATTATTTGTATATGGAAGATAATAAATATTTGTTGAATGGAATTGGAACTATGGATGCTAAAAATTAAAAAAAAAATCTTGTACTATAGTACATGAACCAATACACATTTAAAAAATTCTATCCGTACTTAAAAAACAGAACACTCTTTATTAACAAAATCATTGAGATCCAGTGAGAAAAAGTTCCTTTCAAATTTTTTAAATCCAAGATCACACAACCCTTTGGCTAAGATCTTAACTGATTAAAAAAGCAAATATTTACTAAATCATAACAGTAAAATGATAACTAATGACTAGAAAGATACGCTTTCCTAAAAATTAACCAAATCAACATTTTTTGTGTATTCAAAAGAAGCTATAAAAGTTAACCTTTCATTGATGACAGTCAGCACATCTGCATCTGGACCAGTTTGGAGAACCAAATTGCAAACCCCAAACACAGAAACATCTGCTTGGCTGTAATTATAGGGCCACTCACCATAGTCGTCTTCTCACAGTATGCCATTCCCACGTTTTTTTTTTTTTTTTTCACAGCAAATAAATTGGTGATATCAGTTCACGATAAATCATAAAGATAACAATATTATGAATATTAATTTAATATCTTAAGCAATAGTAGTTAGAGAAAACCTCAGTCTTTTAAAATATCTTTATATAGTGTGAACCGGTCTGCTTTGTACAGCATGAGAGAAATTTGCAGGCTTTAGAGACCCAGTTCATATAATGAGATCCTAGAGTTATATATATATATTTTTAATTTACTCTAAAAATACATAACAAATCTAATTTTAGGGACAAAAATAAAAAAAGGTTCCATAACAACTAAAATGCACAAAGACAACACAAAAGATATCTGAAGTCCTGTATAATTACCCAGTAAGAAAACAGTTTGAGCTTTGTAAATTTTCAGATTTTTTAAAAATCAGAAATGAAATCTGTGCTGTGTATTTTATTCTGTAATTCAGAATCATAATAATGATGCCAATGCTTAAGTATATTGGTGATTCTTAAATCAGGGGCATTTCCTTCCTATTTATGCTTATATTACTGATTTGCTGCAAAATGATGAAAAAGTCCACAGAGATTGAGAAAACATACACTCTCTCAGAAGGCTGACCAACAAAATAATCCTTTTGCCAGACCCTAAATTTGTGAATTTTCATGGATGCTAGAGCTGAACAAGGACACTCGAGAGAGGGAGAGAGAGCTTTCTTCACGGTCCCCACTATTCACTTATTTTCCACTGGTCTTCCATTTCCCCAAGAAGGGGTCTGATATTATATGCTCTTCTGGTGCACATGATCTTTTTTTGTCATCTTATGTAAAAGCCAAGTGATTTTTTGTTGGTTTGTTTGGAGACCAGGTATTCCAGGTAACAACTAGCACATTTCCAGAGAACCTGAATGTTCCTGAACTCCTGACTTACCTTTCCTGAAGGTCACACCCCAAAGAGAACACCCTACTCCAGAGAGTGGAGGCCACAAGTAAGTTATGATTTCTTATTGTAGAACTGCTTAGCAAAGAGAAAATGGACAGGTCAGTAACCAGGTGTCATGGAATGGATTCAAGGCCAAAGACTTTTTGACTTCTCAATGAAGACTCTCACTTCCTACCAATTATTAAGGCACAGTCCAGCCTTGTCCCCTGAGATGCTGGTCGAGTTTTGACGCCCTCTTCGGTGTGAGAGGCCCGGCCGGGGCTTTTGGTGGCTGAACCTTAGTGCAGCTTGCTGTGCACGGGGTAGAGCAAGGTCATGTGTTCTGCCCCCTTGAAAGGCAACTTCTCGTTGGAATAATAGTGTACCACTTCGGGGATGCTGTCAAAGACAGCGCTCGTCTGATTCAGTGTGTACTTGTTGTCTTTGGTTTGTGCCACTATGATGTGGACACATCCTTGACTAGTCCTGGAACAAAACAAAAATCCAGGAAGAGACATGAATGAGTGAGCAGGGGGATCCCTCTCCATCGAAACCCACCCCAGCTAGATTCACAGGCGGATAGGTTCTCCTCCATTCCTGGAACTGTTATATACAAACTGAAATGCATTCAACACTCCAGCGGAACTCTCCGAAGCTTCCCAGCCCTCAGCCAAATGTGTCTCATCCTTGAGTTGTTTATCCTTAATACACACAAGACGGGGCCGGCCCAGTGGCTTGGCGGTTAAGTGCATGCGCTCCGCTGCTGGCGGCCCGGGTTCGGATCCCGGGTGCGCGCCGACGCACCGCTTCTCCAGCCATGCTGGGGCCGAGTCCCACATGCAGCAACTGGAAGGATGTGCAGCTATGACATACAGCTATCTACTGGGGCTTTGGGGGGAAAATAAAAAAAAAAAATCTTAAAAAAAAAAAAAAAAAATACACACAAGTCATCAGGTACCGGACCAAAACCAAACAAAAAGCCAGGTCCCTCCTGGCCCTCAAATTGCCAAGCTAGTGCTTAAGCCCAACTATGAGATGTCTAAGGTGAGGTTTAAACTCACGCTCTTCATCATGGCTAAAAGGACATGTGTAAGGTTTCCTCCTCCTTTCCTCCCCAAAGAATACATTAAGAATAATAATAATAAAAAACCCGCTTCCTCCTCTCCCCCCTCACCTGGAAAGACTGTTCCTCGTTGTACATAATGACAGCTGGCACTGAAGGCTCGAAGATCTAATCCCCGAGCACCAGTTTCAGGAACACAGCAAAGCTATTCCTGGTATTGTATATCTGGTGGCCTGTCCCGTTTTCTGAGCCATATTGCTCAAACACTGCCCCCACACCCCCGCCCCAACCTCTTTTCCCCTCCAGTCTGATTGTTTCAGCTGCAGGGGCTCAGCTTCCTCAGGAAGGAAATGCTGTTAGGGCTCCTGACAATGATCCTCCAATATAGCACCACTGAACTCGCAGAGCAACGAGAATTTCCATGATACAAACTCCACCAGGCCTATCGAGCAAAAATGAATGTTCTGTGTACAAGCAGATGGGGGAGGAACGGCAAGTCAGCGTTTCCTTCTTCACCAGGAGAAACTGGTATCAAAACTGCAGTTGGCATTTTGACAACCAAGGGATCTGATTTATTAAAGTCCCAAATACTAGGGAATAAAAGAAGAACGACCAAACTATCCTGTTAGAAGTTATTCTTTTTAACAGGAATTATTTCTCCACTGAGAAGACCTACTTTAGATCAAGTAATTTAAGGTTGAAACTGACCAACATACAAGGATAATGAAAGAGAACCCTCATTATCCTAGGAGACTGGGACATGCGCCCAACACTGATTTTGCATTCTAATCAGAGCCATTTCATGTTCTGTTACCCAAACGCCAGCACTTTACTTTCCAGCAGTACATGCCCCTGTCAAACATCTGTGAATTATATCTTTCTTGACTGGTCATCTACCGATGACAGGGAAGACCGTCACAGCACCCACCCTGTACCCCTGACCCCACATGCACACAGGGAGAGCCCATGAATCTTCGACACTCACTTTAGTGCAATGGAGTACCTACTGGTCCCTGACTCGCTATTTCGAACCAGGTAACCAGCTTCTTTGCAGGGCTGTAGTCGACTCTCGGCCTCAGCGCGGGTGATGGCACCATGATACCAACTGCAGAAAGGAGTGGGAGGAGAGAGCACAGTGTCAAAATACAAATCCAGACGGGGCCTCATTCCAGAAAGCGTTATCTGAAATGAACTTCTGGTGGAATCTCAACAGCCCGAGCTAGATCCTGCTTCACATTCAGAACAGACAAAATGAGATTTGGGTAATCCTGGATCACAAAACCTATCAGTCATCTAGGAGGGAGTTGACGGGGCTAATGTCATTTTAGAAGTTTTCACTCTATACAGGAGAATGAAATTTAAAATCAAGTTCTTGGGATGCAATGTACCTTCCGTTCTGCAAAAATGCACTGGGCTTTAAAAATTGGTTTTCATTAATAAGCCCCACCCAAATAAGTATTTATGAACAAAAATAATCACATAAAGTGGGCCCTCCCCAAGGCTACCAATAAGCTCCCAGCCATTGTGTGTTCCGCGTGTTTGTGGGGGAGACTCACGGCTGCTTCTCCAGCGGCAGGGCTGGGTCCACCCTTTCACCCTCACTGTGGTCAGAGACGGCTGGCTTCAAGATCTTCTGGGTCCAGCTCTTCTGTCGGTGGTGCTGCCTCACCGTCTCCTCCTTGATGGAAGGTCGCTCAGAGCCTTCAAACTGAACTGGAAGGAAGCCTCCATTTAACATCAGAGGCCCCTGAGGTGACCCATGAAAACTTCAGAGAAAAAGCCTCCTTGACTGCCTCGGCTTAGGAAAGAAGCTTTTCTCCCCCTTTAATGCGAGCTACAATATACTGCAAATACCCGGGGATAGCTGAGCTGCTGTGTCTTTGATACTGGACCACCCTGCTGGCATTCACAGACAGCTACTTTTTCTGTAAGATATTCATCCGGGTCAAACAGTTTTAGAACAGGAGAGAAAACCACTTGACTATATTTCAGCATGTACTTGAAAAAAACTCTTAGTTCTAGTATCTTTACAATAAAAGACTAAACATAGTTACAGGTAACGATTCCTTGCAAAAGTGTGTATCATTCTATGAAACCCAATGAACAGTTTTTACTACGAAATAATAAAACAAAAAGAAAAATCAACTCAGAAACAGAAAGCAACTACTGAATAGTGCCTTCAAGAAGCTATGACATCTAGACTGAAGATAAAGAGAAAAAATGAGCAGCACGTAGCACAACAGCAGGTGCCCAAGAGACGTGTAGAAAACAAGACCAAAATAAAGCAAAAACGGGGTCGAACATTTGCTATCACATATACTACCTTCTCTTGGCCTTCCTGTTAGAGGCAGAAGACATCCCTAACTTTTTTAATTAAAGGCAAAAGAAACTGTGGTCAGTCAAGTAGAAAAATTATGTTCTGAGAGCAGCAGGAGGGGGAATTATCTTTAATATCTATTGACAACCTACTTATCAACTTCCTCTTAAGTTATTTTAAAAATTCACAGTTGAAGAATTAATTCCTCCAGGAGGATTTTTTTTTTTTTTTAAAGATTTTTTTTTAATTTATTTTTTGCCCCCAAAGCCCCAGTAGATAGTTGTATGTCACAGCTGCACACCCTTCTAGTTGCTGTATGTGGGACTCAGCCTCAGGATGGACAGAGAAGTGGTGCCTCGATGCGCACCTGGGATCCGAACCCGGGCCGCCAGCATCGCAGTGCGCGCACTTAACCACCAAGCCACAGGGCCGGCCCTGGGAGGATTTTTTTACTAAAAAAAAAAAAAAAGCTAGCTTCATCCAGCTTTCCAACCACCTCTGTCTGTAATTTATTTGCTCCACTATGGCCATTTTATAAATAGGGATTTTAACAGGTTTGAGGAAGAGAACTAAGTAAGAGCTAGAAAAAGCTGCTCCCAATTTGATAGCTTCAGTGGTGATCAGATAAGGTTTTTCAATAGTTATTTAAGGCATTTCCAAAACAGCTGCACACTGCCAAGATAAAGGGAAATAAAGATGCCCAGAGGGTTAAAAGATAAATGCAGGGCCGGCCCCGTGGCTTAGCGGTTAAGTGCACGCGCTCCGCTACTGGCAACCTGGGTTTGGATCCCCGGCGCGCACCGACGCACCGCTTCTCCGGCCATGCTGAGGCCGCGTCCCACATACAGCAACTAGAAGGATGTGCAACTATGACATACAACTATCTACTGGGGCTTTGGTGAAAAAAAAAAAGGAGGAGGATTGGCAATAGATGTTAGCTCAGAGCTGGTCTTCCTCAGCAAACAAGGAGAGGATTAGCATGGATGTTAGCTCAGGGCTGATCTTCCTCACAAAAAAAAAAAAAAAAAAGATAAATGCAATGTTAAGGGCTGTTCTTCAGTCCTGGGCTTCCAACCACAGCCCAATTCTTGTTTCCCCAGATCAAATTCCTTGGGAAAAGAGACTTGCAGTGGAGGAACATAGAGAACATCGCCCTGGTTGAAATGCTGGAGCAGGCGGGACTTCCCAGCAGGGGAGCATGAAGCATGCAGGAGTGGGGGCCACAGACCCACCCCTCACCTGACAGAGCCCGCACGATCTGCTCCTTCTTCCACTCCCAGGGCTGCTCGTACTCGGCCGCAGGCCTCTCGTCGTCCTGGGGCAGCCGGCTGTGGCTGTCCGGTGGCCGCACCTTCCCCTCGGCCCTGGGGCCTCCCTCGGCGGGCTCGTAGGGGGTGTCGTACAGCTGAGGAGGCTTCCCCAGTAGATCCTTGGAACTGCGTCTCTTGGGCAGCGTCTCTGGTTTCATTCCGTTCTCCCCAGGCTCACAGGGGCTGTCGAGCAGCTGAAGAGCCTTCACCAGGGGATCTTTGGAACCCCGGCGTCTAATTTCTGAAAAACACACACCACACAAATACCTTGAAAGAAAAGTGCCCTGGAGGCCCGGTGATTAACCCAATTACCTCTTCACCTGTGACTGTCTGGTTGAAGGTGGCAGAGAACAAACACTGAGATTGTTCCTTAGCGGGCTGATTACTTCCCAGCTGTAGGAAGGAGCCTTGCAGGTTGTGAGAAGAGAAGTGGCCACAGGCAACCTGTCCCACAGTTCCTGGTCCCAATGTCTGCTCTGTGTGTAGTTCACCTTCCAAGTTTTCACATCTTGTTAGGAAGCTGAGATCAAAGTATTTTAATAAAAATCAACTGAGTGTTTACTATATTCAAAGCATTGGCCCACATACACTGAGGAAGGTATTTATGTGCATTAGACAGAATTCTCCTAGGTGGTTTTAATACAGTGGGGGAAGCCGGATACACTGACAAATAATACGTAACAGGCTAATAACTGCAGGATAAATGAAAGTAGAAGAGGTATTATGGGGAAAAACAACAACAACGATAACCTAACAGCTAACATTTATTGATGGTATATTACACATTAGGCACTATTCTAAGCGCGTTGTAATTTTCACAACCACCCTATGAGATGGGTACCATCATTTCCCCAATGTTACAGAAGAGAAAACTGAAGCACAAAGAGTTTAAGGAAGTCGCCCAAACCAATAAGTGGCAAAGCCTGGATTCAAAGCAGGAAGTTGGGCTCTAGAAGCCACGCTCATAACCACTACACTTGGACTGACTCCAAGGGGAAGAGAAATGGAAGATGAGTTGACTTTGATAGAGAGGGTCATTTCCAGCGGAGGAAGCTGCATGAGTGAAGATATGGACGTGGGAACCATAAAGGGCTTGTTCCCATAATGGGGAGGTGAGAGATAAGTTCAGAGGACAGAGGCCAGGAGAGGAGAGCAGTAGTGGGAGAAGAAGCTAGAAAAGTAGGCAGGACAGCCAGCAAAGTGTAGAAGTTTGAAAAGCAAGGATAAAAAGATCAGATTGTTTCATATGCAATGGAGAACCATTATAAGTTTTTTAACAGTAATAACAATGATATTTGTGTTTTGTTGGAATATAACTCCAACCACAGTGTACAGGATGGAATAAGCCAGAAAGGTATGGTCTGAACTGAGGCACAGAAATGGATGCAAAAAACCTGATGCAAATCAACCAGGCATTAGCTAACCAGCCAGCCAGCTGGGTGGGAAGGAAACAGCAGTGTCTGGGGACGGACCAGCTTGGGGCTCAGAGACCCTGGCAGGTGCAGTTAGAGACAACTAGAGTCTGGACAACCAGAGCTGGTGATATAGACCAACAGATGCATCACATTACAGTTCTTCTAAACGTCAATCAGGGTGCCTTCAATCTGTCCACCTGGTCATAGTGAAGGAGGACCTTTCTAAACACAAACATCTTGTCTCCTCACTTAACACCCAGTAAGCTCTCAACTGTCTACTTACAAAGTGCAAACTGCTCAGCATGGCATGGGACGCCTTCTATGACCAGATCACTGCCTCCCTCTCCAATTTCTTCTCTCAACATCACCCTGCCCTGTCCCCCTGCAATCCATTTCTGTTCCAACCAAATGGAACTTCTTAAGTTCCCTGTGCACTACATTGTCTTTTGCCCACCAGTGTCCTGGTGATCTTGCAATCCTTTGAAAACTAACCCGGCATCTCCTTCCCTTTCCAGCCCACCTTCTCCTCCAATGCCCCACTTCTTCCAGGTGCCACCGCTTTGCCAACCCACTCTCTCCTTGCACTTCACTCACTGCATGGATTTATTTGTTGATGTGTCTGTATTTCCAATTTGGTGGAGACTGCCAGGGCAGGGACCACCATGTCTTGTTTATCTTTGTAGGACACACAGTTGTGCTAAATAATGATTGGATGGATGGATGGATGGATGGATGGATGGATGGATGGATGGATGGACAGGAGGATAGAGGGAGGGGAGGGAGTTCTAGAATTTCTCCAAGCAGGTGACAGTATGGATCTGGAGCTCAGCAGAGAGGTGAAAGTCAGAGGTACACGTCAAGGAGTTACTCACAAATGGATCATTGTTAATCCTGTGAGAATGAAGGCAATCACCAGAGGAAAGGAGGGCAGATTGAAAAGGAAAGAAGATCAAAGGCAGAGCCTGCGACTTCTTCAGTTAAGGGCGGACAGAAGAAGAGGTGCCGGCAAAGAAGGCTGAGAATGAGTGGTCAGGTCAGGAGGAAACGGAGCAAAGACTGCAAAGCTGTAGAAACAAGGGAGAGCCAGACTTTCTACAGGTAACTGAGAACGGGCATGGGGACACTGTGGAGAAGAATCATTGACTCGATAAGACTTCTATAACAAGGAAAGGACAACAAATGAAACATTCAAGGGAAAAGTTATTAAAATCAGGACACTAAATTCAAAAGGGCAAAATTTATTTATAGAGTGAGGCTATACTTCTGCTGGATAGGGGCCCTGACTGCAACTGGCTCCAATCCTATATATATATACACACACACATATACACACACACACACACACACACACATACACACACACAAACTGCAGTACTAGCTCACTGGAATCACCTGGGGGAGCTTTCACACATATGATGCCTGGGTCCCATCACCAGAGGCCTGATTTAATTGGTTTGGGGTACAGCCTGGGAGTTAGAGGTGTAAAAGCTCCCCAGGTGATTCTAATAGGAAGCTAAACACTGAGAAGCCCTATCACACCTCCTGGGTCCCCCCAGTGCCCATCTCAGTTCCTCCTGCTCTCCAGAGCTAATCTCATCACTGCCAGACCCATCCTAAGGAGAAGGGTTCTCCTTGTATCACCACATCAGAATGTGAGAGCTAGAAGAACCATCCCCGCCCCCAGGCCAGGAAAGGCACAGGGGGTTAGCTGAGGTCTCCCGCATCTCTTCTCCAAGCCTCTCGACTTTCAGTCTGACAGCTTTTTTTTCTTCACTGCTTATTCTAGATGGAGTTACGGAAAACAAGAAACAAAAACATACTCTGCTCTTGGTTCAATTAAGATAAGGCTGGAGTTTTTTAAAAAGAACTTTTCTACAGAACTAAGAAAAAGGAGAGAGAAAACACAAAGGAGTTCAAAGGATGAATTGAGAATTTTAAGTTTCTGATCAAAATCTAAGTTTACCCTCAGGTTAGACTGGCACAGGCTGGGGAAACCTTTCCCGAGGTCCCTGCCTCAATTCTGTCCCGGTTAAACTAAACAGAAAAAGAGTTGATTCCAACCTTAAGATAGGAGTCCTGTTCACAAAGAAATTTCAATAAATTTGTGTTAAAACGAGGTATACTGATTAGATCTTGAGTTCTTATTACACTTGCGTTTGAGTTTATACTTTTGAGAGGAGGTCCTTGTATTCCTTCTTATTGTAGGCAGTCCCTGCAGGCTTAGAGCTCTGGGAAAAACACTGGAGAGCACACAACTGAGAATGTTCCTTCTCGGGATGGTGCTGGGATTGGGCAAAATCTCAAAGAATTATCATCTTTTTAAACAATGTTTAATTAGGGGAAAAAACGGGCTTGAGCGCAGGGCCCCTCCGCCCCTTCAAGGGGAGTAACCTTCCACTAGACTCCAACACCTGGCTGCCCCCAACCTGAGGCGCCATAGAAACAGAAACAATCGCGGGGCTGCACACCGACCCTTCCTGCAGGGAGAATAGCCCCTGACGTGCAGAGCTGGCTCCGAGAGGAAACGAGCCTGAGAAGGAGGAAATGGCGAGAGGAAGCTACACCCTGGCTCTGCCGATAGAGGCCATTTATGCGGCAGACAACAGCATGCGGCCAATGGGCCGCAGATAAACAGCGATCTGCAGCGAGGGCCGAAGCTGAGGGCTGACCTGCACCAGTTCAAATGTGCAACTGGTTGGTGTGAAACATAATGTGGGCCCCAAATTTTCCCTTGTCAATTCCCAACACCAGCTTACATAATTACGCCATTTATATTTAAAAACATAGAAGACTAAGACTTTCTTTTACTAAATTAATTGTAGCTAGCAATTAATATTCCTCTATATTTGTACGGAATTCTCTTTGAAAATGGAATTCTCTCTCCAGAGTGCCTAAATAATGGTTATATTTATTGGGTATGCATGTACTAGGCATGTTATATACCCAGCATCTCAGTAAAGCCTCATGATGCAGTGAGAGCCGTGTTATCCCATTGTCACAGTGAATAAACTGAGGCCATGCAGTCGTCAGTGAGGGAGCTGTTTATTGCTGGCTCAGAGCCCAGGCTTTCTCCATCATACTTTACTTTATGCCCCAAAGATTTCACCCAGAATGTTAATTACAATTTCTATAATACACCTTTTTCCCTAATCCATTTCATGTTTTCAAAACATTAAACTCAGAGCCTCATAAGGCTGTTTTCCACTTAGAATCAGAAATAGGGCTGTTAGGTAACTGTTTTACTCACATCTTCTACGAGTGCTCAAACCTTTGATTTAAAATTAATATTTTCTTATTGAACAAATCTAAATATCTGAACAAAAGCAGATACAATTCAGAAGCTTTGACATTTAAGTTTAACAAGGAAAGTACAGACAAATAAGTCAAAAAGTCTGCTATTTATATTTTTTCCTATGGATAATTTTTTAAATGGAGACCCAGTGAGGTTCTCCCTTAGATTTGACTATTTAAACAAACTAACAAAACCGTTTGGAGACAAAAATAAAATTTTAAAAACAACTGGACTTTGGACAAGTTATTGAATCTTTCTGAACCTTGGCTTCCTCATCTGTAAAACAGGGACTTCTAGAACCCACTTCACAGGGGTGTAGGATTTAGTGAGGTAACCTGGCAAGCTTGGTACCTGGTAAGCGCTCAACTTGTGTGATACCAGCTGTGGAAGGAGTTCTCATGCTGAGTGATGGCTATCTTAAGAACTTCTCAAGACCCTTCCAATGCTAAAGTTTTAATTTGCTGGCTAAAACTCACCATGCTAAATAATATAGAATATTTCTGCTAATTATTTAGCTAAAATGTTCCTGTAACCTCTAACAAAGAGGTTTACTCTAATATTGCCTTGTATTCACAGTCATATCTTTTTATGAACTATCCTTTGGATAAACCTAAGTGAGAATTTATTTACAGATTTATAAATTCTTAGCTTTTATGAGTTAAGAGCAAGGTTTTGTGTGGGAGGGATCCAGGGAGCCTGGATCCCACAATTATTTGGCCATAGGAAAGTACTAAGTGCCTCTTAATTTCTGTTTCTTCCTCTGATCCCTAAGGCAGCCGGCGATTCTTATTCTCTACTTCATGGCACTCCCTACACTTTTCAATGATAATTTTCTTCTTTTCTATTGGTGTTAGGTCTGTTTGCCCCCTAGGGTTGTGAGGTCCATAAGGACATGGGTCATGTGGGTCTTGTTCCCTGTATTCCCAGAGCCCAACACAGGGCCTGGTACATCGTAAATAAATGCCTAAGAAATATTTGTTGGATGTTATAAAATAACATCATGAACAGTGTTCTACACATCCAAGATATTGTTAGAATCAGGCATGTTATCCCCACTTCATCGATATTAAAAAGGCAGGACAAAAAAACAACAAGTGTTGGAGAGGATGTGGAGAAACAGGAACCCTCACACATAGCTGGTGGGAATGCAAACTGGTGCAGCCTCTATGGAAAACGGTATGGAGATTCTTCAAAGACTTAAAAACAGAGATGCCCTATGACCCAGCCATCCCATTACTGGGAATCTATCCAACGAACCTGAAATCAACAATCCAAAGAGGCTTATGCACCCCTATGTTTATTGCAGCATTATTCACCATAGCCAAGAAGTGGAAGCAACCTAAGTGTCCCTCGACTGACTATTGGATCAAGAAAATGTGGTATATACATACAATGGAATACTACTCAGCCATAAAAAAAGACAAAATCGTCCCATTTGCAACAACATGGATGGGCCTGGAATGTATTATGTTAAGTGAAATAAGCCAGAAAGAGAAAGACAAACACTGTATGATCTCCCTCATATGTGGAATATAAACCAACACATGGACAGAGAAAACTGTACTGTGGTTACCAGGGGCAGTAGGGGTGGGCACAAGGGGTGAAGGGAGTCATATATATGGTGATGGACAAACAAAAATGCACAACCCAAAATTTCACAATGTTAAAAACCATTAAAACATCAATAAAAAAAAAAAAAAAGGCAGGACAGAAGTTGGGTGATCCACAGGGAAATCATATTCATTAGGCCCTTCCCCATCTCCTGCAGAAATGCTGAAATAAACTAAAAAAAATTCCTAACGTTTCTCAAGAAATATGGGACATTTCTGAACTTAGACTTGAGAACCAAGCACACAAGAAGCAAACTGAACAAAAAAAGTAAAAAGTTAAAAAAAAATCCAGCAGCAAATCTTTTATTTCCAGCTTCCGATAAACTCACTTCCTGTTATTCTGTCCAGCTGTGTAACTTACGCGCAGAATAAGACATATAGTCTCTACCTTGATTGAGGTGCTTTGTGATATATTTTTTCAATGAAGAAACTTTAAAATTCAGCAATATAATATCTTTTAAAAGAGCAAGAAAAAAAGATGTGTAACTTAAAAAAGTTAGTAATTTAAATTTTTAATAAATTTGAATATTCTCCAATTGAATACATTACTTTTGTATTCCTAAGTGAATTTATTCATGTAAACTCTTTAAAACAGCCTGGAACTTAATAAGCACTCAAATATTACATTTATTTCACACTGGACAGTTTTGACTTTTCAATACGACTTTCTTTGTGAGTCTGAGTGAAAAGATGTCTTCCTTACGTGTAAAGTCTAAAGTGCTTTTGCATACATCATTTCAGATATGTCCTGAAGCAACTTGGTGTAGGAAGCAGACCACCCAATCCAGAGGGGGAAGATCTGGGTTCTAATTTTTGCTCTGTCTCTTAAGGCTTATGAGCATCGGGAAATCAGAATCTCTTTGATCTTGTTTTTTACCCTGTACAAGTGGATAATATTAGAGTCCCCTAGATAACAGAGTTTTGTGGGGATTACATGGAAAAAAAAGAGATATATTAATTTTTAAAAAGCACAGCACTTTCCCTATTATCAATGTGGCTCCACAAATAAACAGCTGGGATAGTATAAACTACTTATTCCAGTTAAAGAGGAAGAAAGGAATAAAAACCGAAGGACAAAGAAAGATGAATCAAAATTATGCTTTTTTTTTTTTAAAGAAAATCCTTTTCCTCAATTGTATGTAAAAGTAAGCCTTTTCCCCTACTCCTTTCAAGCCTCCGATATTTCTTAAAATCCTAAATTCATTTTCACTTCCTTTCATTCACAGATTTCATTAGAGGTCACAGTCCGGTGACCTTCAGGGTCACAGCCTGGCCAGGGTACACCCTCCCCAAATGCGAGCCTTATCTCTGTGAGCAGAGGCAGGAAACAGAGCAGTGCCTTCCTGCTGCAGCTCATTTTCATTCTGAAGCCTGTCTTGACCCTTCCAGAGAGCTGCAGTTACCCTCCTGCTCAACCCTTCCAAGACTCTGCTCATGGAGCCTGAGCTTGACAGCTTTTCAATCTATCTTTAAACAGAAGAGACAGCCTTGAACGTGTGACCACTTATTCCTTTCCCAGGCGTGAACCCTGTGGCACTCAAACAAGGCTCCCTTGAGTCAGCACTCAGACACTGCATTTTCATGATAGTTCAACGAATCTCCAAGGAAAATTAGGTGAATAAATAATTTACTCTAAAATACACAAATAAATCTAGATTAACTAGTTTCTATTATTTTTAAGTATCGATTACACTAACTTAAGAAAATTATGAATAAAAGGGAAAAGTTTGACACCAAAAATGATAGCGTGATTGCTCAGTTCACAAGTTGGAATTAACTGTTCTGACTTGAAAAGTTATAAGAGTAGGTGACTTTGGTTTTAGGAGGTTTGCCTTGAATGGCTTGGCTCACGCCAGTGATTAGTAATCATTCCTTAGTAATTAAATTTCTTTCTCCAATGTTGTAGAGCTTGTCAAGTAATCAATCTTCTACTATAATACATAGGATCGCATCATATTTGCATCTTGTAACAACTTAAAATCCTTTAAGTATGTGTTAGTCCCTTGGTACAGATTTATGACTTTCATTATGGATGTCAAAGCTTTGAAAGTGGCCAAAAAAATGTATATAAATAATCTTAAGACTGAAGATCACATTCTGAGCAGATCTCCAAACTCCCAAGTGTCATCTTGCATAGAATTAGAAAAACTTGAAAGACCCCTGCAGATTTTAAAACTGAAGGATACAAAACAACACACAAAAAGTTAACTAGATATTTTGGCCTTAGTTTTGGGTCAATTTCTGTTTCTTCCAGGCATAGGATCTGGTTAAATCGCTTCATCCCTCTTCCCCAAATATTCAGCATTACTATTTTACTACACTCCAAGTGAGCGCGAGATTTCAGTCCCGATTAAGCCGTTCCTGGTTACAAACCTGTTATCATTTGCTGAGCATCATAGGGTTCCATGTAACCGTCATTCTCTCCTACTCTCTCTGCATCCCTTTGGCCTTTTGTCCGTTTGGCATCATAAGGGTCAGCATAGTCTTCTAAAATGATGACCTGTAAAAGAACCAGAGAGGAGAGTTGCTAAGGATTATCATATACCTGAATGGCAATGGTATCAAAATGGCTACCGTAAATCTGCAGATCCAAAAAGGGGTCAAAATCTCCAACCAGTTCTGGATAGCTTTTGCACTTGATCCTGTAAACATCTGATTTTTTTGGTAGTATAATTGATTGGCAACAATTCATCTAAACTCTTTTACTTATCCCCAAGGCTCTGTTCACCTCCCTTTCTCTCCCCAAGTAATAAAGCATTTGCTGGTTAAAGGGTGGCAGAGGTGGATGGTGGGGAGTAGGGGATGTCTATGGCCTTAGAGAGAAAAAAACGAACTGATCTACCACCTTCCCCATGATTTTGGTCTTTTCAATGCCAACCAGCTGAGCAATATAGTCATGGTAAGTTAGTCAATCACCCAGTGAGTACTGAACAGCCACCAGCACTGGCTGGGCACCGTAAGGGAATCAAAATAAGACCAAGCCCTGCTTCTTGTCCTCAAGGAATTTGTAACAGCTCTAAAGAGACAGGCTTCAGAATAAGAAGCCTAAGAAATAGGTCAGAACTAAATAGTATTGTGGGAGTTCTAGGTTCAATAATTCACAGACTGATTCTCATAGGCTACAATGAGATAGAGTTTTGATCAGTATTTGTGTCTGAAAGCATCTATCCTTCCAAAAACAGAAAGGTGCCTGAAAAGGTGGTGTGTGTGCAGTAGTCCTGTTCTGCAGCAGCTGGGGGACAAGTGGGAGGTTAGGGAACCCTTCTCAGGGAAGAAGCCCCAGGGCCCTGCCCCACAGTCTCTGACTGCATTCTCCAAAGAGTTCACGGCGAAGTACATCAGAGCTGGCAGGAAGAAGTCAGATGAACAGGGAAAAGTGAGGACAAGGGGACAGCCTGTATTAGAGCCCTCCTCCTGGGAGGAGATGGCCTAAGAAACCTGAGACATCCAGAAGTGATGACCACGAACATAACAACATAATGAGGCAACCCCTGCAGAGGACTGTGATTACCATTCTCTCCCTCACTCCATTCTTCCTGACTGCCCACCATGTGTACTGCATTCCCAAGGCACAGCAAGGAACACGAAGCATGATACTCAGTCCTCGGCTGCAAGGTGCTTGTGATCTAGTCCGACAGGTAAACCAATGACTACTACCTGGAGGAGCTGGATCCTCGGCCATCTTTCCACGGCTCTCCCTCCAGTGCCTGGCACAGGGTAGGCATGCTATAAATATTTATGAAAAGAATGAATGAAGGAATGAACAGAAGTGCTCAATGCAGACACACATGATATGTGTGACTGGTGGGCAGCATGTCTGAAGCCTGGGCAAGAGAAACTTAAAAGTTCCCAGGACAGAAAGCACTCGCCTGGGCTGGAGTCTGAAAGCTCAGTTTGAGCTCTTCTCTTTTCACACAGAAGAGTGGATTTAAAAAACCAATAAACAAAAACCAGCTCATTTCTGTAAGAATGGAGTGGGTCTCGTCACACGTTCACACCCCTTTTCTTAGCTGTCTTAATTGGCCAGCACCCAGAAAACAGCCGGTGTGTAAGGAGCAGGAAACACCTTCTTCTCTCCTGATCTGTAATTTCCTTAAGGGCATTTCCTCGTCCTATTCTGTATCCTCCACAGGCCCTAGAGCCCTGTGCCCCTTATCCTACGTGGCTGCTGCACAACAAGTGTTCACGGAATGAATGAGGGGCTGTAATCCTGGGGTGCTGGTGAAGCCCTGAGAAGCCCTTTACTGGCAGAACTGCAAGAATGACAGAGCAGGGCGGGGTGGGCAGCCCATTGCCTGGAGCTTTGAAATCCATACTACACAGTTTCGAGGTTATCATTCCTAAAGCTCGAGAAGGATAAAAGTGATACACGAGTCTAGCTTTGCAATCTCCCTGGATGTCGAAATTAAAATAAACCAGATCTATAAAGGGGTCAAACTGAACAAAGCATGAGCATCTCATTCTGTTATTTCTAAACTGCTAACAAAATTAAAAGGATAGTACATTTCTGGGAAGTTATCCATCCTTAAAAGGATTTTTCAACATAAAAAACACTAATGATTTTAAATGGTCACTCAGGAGTCATCACATGTAAGGAACTCTAGGGCCTGCAGGCTCACTACGCTCCCCTCCCACTGTTTCGCTTCAGCAGGGGCGAGGGGGTCCACAGGAGGCTGTATTCTTACCGTGTCTTGCTGCTTAATCATCTTGCCCTTGTCCAGTTCAGGGCCCAGGGAGGAAGGGGAAGAGGACGCCGAGGAAGAGCTGCTGCTGCTGCTGCTGCTGCTGCCGCTGCTGCCGCCGCCGCCGGGGTAGCTGCCCTTCCCGTTCTTCTCCTGAGTGTCCACCTTGATGAGCCTGCTGATGTAGGTGCTGCAGCCCGAGCTCTTGGCCGCGCCCCGGTGGGGCTCGTCCTCGGTGGCCCGGGAGTTCTTGCGGCCCTTGCCCGCGGCGGCCTGAATCAGACCCTGCAGGCTGTCCCGGGACAGCCGGCTGTCCTTGGGGGCGCCGACGCCGGCCCTGCCGCTCCCCGGCTCGGCCGCCGAGTTCTTGCGGCCCTTGCCCGGGGTCGGCCCCGCGCCGCCCGCCTCCGAGTTCTTGCGCAGTTTGCCGCCCGCACCGCCGCCGGGCTTGGCCCGCTCCGACACGGTCTTCAGGTTCAGGGGGAACTCCTTGAACCACTTGGCCGCCATGAGGGGGGCCCGGCCGGCGCGGCTCAGGAGCGTCGTGGCCGCGGAGCAGGTGAGCGAGGAGGCCCAGCCCAGACACGGAGAGGCGCCAGGGGCCGGGGGCCACTGCATTCCCCGGGGCTGGCGCGCTGGAGGCCGCGGCGAGGCCCCGCGACGGCTGCTCCTCTCGTCCCCCGCCGGCCGTCGCCCACGCCCGGCAGGGTGGGGCCCCCACGGCCCGGGGCGGGGGGCCCGGGGCGCCGAGCGGGCGGGCGCGGGCCGCCGCTCCGGACACGGACGGCGACAGGCACGACGCACCGGGGCCCCGCCCGGGCTCGTCTTCAGCGCCTACCCGGCCGGGGGCTCCGCGGCTCTCCAGAGGCAGCAGGCGCCGGGGGCTTCCCCTGCTTTTTCCTCCCGAAGTGGGAGAGGCCGGGCCCACGGAAGCCCCGAGACAGCCCAGCCCACACTCCCAGGGACGAGAGGGGACAGAGCGGAGGCGGCGGGGGTGTCCCCGGCGCCGCGACGGACGGTGGACCGATGACGGGCCACCCACTCCCTCTGCGCGCCCCTCCCCTCCGCGGCTGGCGCCTCCCAGCCCCGGCACCTCCCGCCCAGATCCGAGGGCGCCGGGGTCAGCGCCTCTGCAGAGGCGGGTCCGGGGGTGCATGTTCGGGGGAAGGTTGCAGCTGCTGCACGTGCTGACCGGGTGCGCTCGCGTGCTTAGAGCCTCCCTCTTCTGAGTAAACAGCTCCCCTTCTGCAAGGAGCCAGTTCGGCCGGCCGCTGCCTCAAATGCGCCCCAAGTGCGCCACGTGCGCTCTCTGACCCAGGACGGAAGCCCCTCGGCTCCCCAAAGAGCCAGGCGCGCCCCGTTCACTCACTCCACCCTCCCTGCAAACATTATTTTGGGTCTCTGTATGTGAGATCCCACTAAGAATGTGCGCAGGGGCAGCCGGTGCTCGCTCCCGCGCTCGTGCGGTCACCGTCCCCGGGAGCACCACTCCGCGCCGGGAGGACCCCGCTCTTCCCGCCCGGCCCGGGCCTCGGCCGGCTGGAGATTGGTTGCGGAGGAGCGGCCCCGCCCCGCGCCCCACGGGTCTCGGAGGAGGCGGAGCGCGTAGGCAGAAGGCGCGAAGGCTCTCCGTCGCGGCTGCGAGGTGGGTGCTCCTGGCCGAGAAAGGTACGACTTGTTGGTTCCAGGTTCCAGGTCCCAGGCTGCCCGGTGAGGGGTGGAGGGGACAGGGGCGTTGGGAAGCAGTTGTGGAAACCACCCCCATTGCCACTGTGGGGTGGAAGGGCGTGCTGTTACCGCCAGGGCTTGTTGCTTGCTCGCTCTAGTGGTGTCTGCAGAATTTTTTGGTGGGGATGGGGGGTGGGAGTGGACAGGCGAGACTGAATCCGTGCTGATGGGGAGCGCTTTGTGCTGAACTGTGGGGCACTTTGCGTTAAAAGACGCCTCTGCCATCCCCCTCCCCTTCAAAGCCATTTCAAAACTTTTTGGCTTAAAAAACTTAAAAAAACTAAAAAGCAGAGGCTCAGGCAGTGCATTCTCAATTCTTACATGTAAGCCGTGGGGACTGAATGATTTGGGCCACCCATCGGCTTTTTGTGTGTGGGTGGTGGTTTGTGAGATGGCAGGGCAAAAGAAACGCTTGCTTAAAGCAGCCATTCTTGAAAATGCATCTTTTTTGAGAACAGCTTTATTGAGATATAACTTACACATCATAAAATTCACCTGTTTTAAGTGTACAGTTCAAAGGTTTTTAGTATATTTATGGTATAACCATCACCACAATCGAATTTTAGAGCGTTTCTGTCACCCCAAAAAGAAACTTTATGACCATGAGCAATCGCTTCTCATTCCCCTCTCCCCGCCCCTACACAGGCACTAATCTTTCTGTCTACAGATTTGTCTATTTTGGACTTTTCATATAAGTAGAATCATACAATATGTGGCCTTTCGTGGCTGGCTTCTTTCCCTTAGCATCATGTTTTTGAGATTCATCCATGTTGTAGCATTTATTAATACTTCATTCGTTTTATATTGCCGAGTAATATTCCATTGTATGGATATACAACATTTTCTTTATCCATTCATCCATTGGTTGATGGACATTTGGTTGTTTCCACTTTTTAGCTATTATAAACAATGTTACTATGAACCTTTGTGAACAACTCTTTGTGTGGACATATGTTTTAATTTCTCTTAAGTGGATACCCAGGAGTGGAATTGCTGGGTAACGTGGAATTCTCTGTTTCACTTTTTGAGAAACTGCCAAACTGTTTTCCAAAGCGGCTGCACCATTTTACATTCCCACCAGCAATTTGAGAATCCTCATTTCTCTGCATCCTCAACGCTTATTACTATTGTCTGTTTTATTATAGCCATCCTAGTGGGTGTGAGGTGGTATCATTGGAGTTTTTATTTGCATTTCCTTGATGGCTAAAGATGTTAAACATCTTTTTATGTGCTTACTGGCCATTTGTATGTCTGAGGAAATGTCTATCAGATCATTTCCCCACTTTGTAATTGGTTTATCTTGTTATTGAGTTGTAAGAGTTCTTTATGTATTCTTGGTCTTTTTAAAAACACGAAAAAGATACTTCTCCAGACCAAGCAATAGAGTGGAAGCTCATGACTTTGGAGTCGTATGGTCAGGTTTCAAAAAACAGGCTTCTCCATTTATGAGTATAGATTAAGTGATCTTGGACAAATTACTAGGTTATTGTCTGAGCCTCCAGGACTTCATCTGTACAACCGGGGTAATAATGCCCAGCTCCTGCGAGTTTCCATGAGGATTATATGAGACAATGTGTAATAGCTGCTTAGCATAGCACCTGGTGAACCTTTAAAGGCATCTTTGAAACATTTATTCTGAGCCTTTGTTTGGGAGGTGTTGGTGCCTGCCTGGTTCCAGAAGCCCATGGACTTTTCCAGAGATTACTAGGAAATTGGGACTAATACCCATAGCCTTGATTCTGCCCCTAAACCTCTCTGTTTTTATTCATCCATACCTACGTCTTTTAATTATCTTAACCATTTTGGGTTCTATTTAAATTTAGTTGCAGCTGAAGTTATTGTTTTCTCCTACAGCTGGGAACAGTTTAGAGGAAAGATTTACCATTTTCTTTTAAAATTTGCTTTATGTTTCTCCTAAAATAAAGAAAAAAATTCCTTTAAAGTGACTTTGACAGCCTTCTTATCTGTAGAAGAACCAAGGCCTTGGAGTCACAGACCTGAGTTATCTCAGTATCTTTTATAATCTTGAGCAAATTATCCGAGGTCCTTGAGCTTTGCCTTTCCCATCTGTAAAATGGAAAGATAATACTCCACAGGGTCATAGGAAAGAGCCAGTGAAATCCGTAAAATTAAACACAATGGCTACCATTTATTGAGCTCTTAATACTTGGCAGGTGTTCTAAGGACAGTATCTCACTGCACCCTTGTGGTCTATAGGTGTTTTGATTCCTATTTGACTGATAAAACGTGCCCAGGGTCTCTGGGCTGGACTCGGAGCTGCATCTCTTTAACTCCAAAGGCCCCATCTGGCCCCTGTGCAGGAGTGGGTGTGGTCGTAAAGTTGCTCGTGGTACCTGTATTAGTTTTCTGTTTGCTGCCATAACAAATTACCACTTGTTTAGTGGCTTAACAACACAACCTACGGTTCTGTAGGTCAGAAGTCTGACACACGTCTCATTAGGCTAAAGTCAAGATGTTAGGAGGGCCAAGTTCCTTCTGGTGGCTCTAGGGAACAACCCGTTTCCTTGCCTTTTCCAGCTTCTGGAGGCTGCCTGCATTCCTTGGTTTGTGCTCCCCCTTCCTCCGTCTTCCAAGCCAGCAACAGTGGTTGAGTTCTTCTCATATCGCATTGCTTTAGTCTTGCTTCTGTTGTCACATCTCTTTGTCTGACCCTCTCTTCTGCCTACCTCGTCCACTTTTAAGGACTCCATTAGGCCCACCTGGATAATCTAATTTAAGGTCAGCTGATTAGCAACCTTAATTCCATCTGCAGCCTTAATTCCCCCTTGCCATGTAACCAGCCATATTCATAGGTGTGATATTGTGATTTATAATAAGAGATTTGTATTTGGTCTTTGTCCCATTTCTGGCAGAGTTCCTAAATCCCTTGGAATTTCCTAAATGATGAGAGCAATAAAGGTGTCTTTTGTTGTGTTAATGAGCCCCTAGGTAACCTAAGGATGGGGGCTGGTTGCCAGGATACCTAACCAGGTGATTAGAGGGTTGGAATTTTCAGTCTCCCTCCCTCACCCTACACCCCACCTCTGGGGAGGGAAGAAGGGCTGGAGGTTGAGTCAGTCGCCAGTGGCCAATGATTTAAGCAATCGTGCTTATGTAATGAGGCCTCCATAAAAACCCAAAAGGATGGAGTTTGAGGAGCTTCTGGGTTGGTGAATATGTAGAGATTTGGGGAGAGTGGTACACCTGGAGAGGGCATGGATGCTCTGTGCTCTTTCCCCATACCTTACCCTCTGTATCTCTTCCTGGCTGTTCCTGAGTTTATAATAAACTGGTAATCTAGTGAATAAAATGTTGCCCTGAGATTTGTGAGCTGCTCCAGCAAATTGATCCAACTCATGGAGGGGATCTTGGGAACCTTCAGTCTAGAACTGGTCAGTCAGAAGCACAGGTGACAACCTGGGCCTGCATGCAACTGGCATCTGAAGTGGGGGTGTGGGGGGACAGTCCTGTGGGACTGAGCCCTTAACCTTTGGAATATGATGCTATCTCTGGGTAAGAAAGTGTCAGAATTGAGTTGAATTGTGGAACACCCAGCTGGTGTCTGGAACATTGCTTGGTGGTATGGAAAACCGCCCTCTCCCCATTGGAATTGGTGACCAGAACCCTTGACAGGTTCTGGGGATTAGGATGTGGACCACTTTGGGGGGCCATTATTCTGCCTGCCACAGCACCTCTTCAGTAGTTATGTGATGGTGAGTTATCCTGGTGTTCTGCTAACTGTGGTGGTTGGTTTTGCAGGAGATCCTGTTGCAAGAAACTGCAGCATGTAAGTCGCTTCCTTTTGCTCATAAACACGCCTCCTTCTACTGGGTAGCCCTGTTTCTCCTATGCCTGCCTCAACAGGCCCAGAGTTTAGCAGTCACCCCCAGCATTTCTCTGTTGCTTCTAACCCTAAATGTGATTTAACAATCAGCGATTAAGAAGGGGAGGGCTTCCTGGCTTGGAGAGCCTGAGTCTGGGAGGAGGAAGGGAAACCCTCCCTCAGGAAGGGGGCATGAAGCTTGTGCCCTGCTTTTTGTGCCCTTTGTTGGAGTTTGGGCTTGGCAGGTGCATACTGAGACCTGTGTTTGACAGGTCTTGGAGCAGCAGTGACTTCCGACCCTCTGCTAAACTGTTCGGGAAGAATGGAGTGTTGGAGGAGCAGAAATCGCCCAGTGAGTTAGCTTGGGGGGTTGGTTGGTGCTGGGACCTCAGTCTATAACCTGGATCTCAGTTAATCGACTCAGTTTCTGTTCAAGCGTGAAACGGGATCCACTTGGATCCTGCTTTTGCTCCAGTTGGCCGCCGTGTTTCCTTTCATATGGCTCATGCGTCCTCCTGTCCCTGCCGCGGTGCAGACCCTCAGTCTCTGTTGCATTAGTTTCTCCTAACTCCGTGCTCCTTTTTAATTCTTACCTTCTTCCATTTCACCCTCCACCATCTCCAAAGTGATCTTTCTAAAGCACAGCTATGTTGATGTCTCCTCTCAGGTTAAAACCCTTTACCCACTCCTCACAGCTAGTGGAATTTCATAATTTGGCCTTGCCTGCCTTTCTTGCCTCCTCTCTCACCACACACCCACATGCAGCGTGCAGTCCAGCTATCCCCGACTACATGCAATTTCCCAAATGTGCCAAGCCTTTTCGTATGTTCATGCCTTCGCATGTGCTGTTCCCTCTGCCTGGATTCCCTTCAGCCTCTCTCCTGCACTACCACCCTGCTTCCTTCCCTTCTTCAGCTTGATGTCAATTCTGAAACACAACCCCTGTTGGTCCTGAAACTCTTCATATGACCTCATTGAAAGCGCTGGATTTCTGGTATGCTGATGACTCTCTGTTCCCCCAAGAGTGAGCTCCTGCCTTGAAGGCAGTGATGTCCACGGCCAACACTTCACACTGGGCTGCTGCCATAACATTCATATTTGCTGAATGATTGAGTGCTGTATAACTGTTCATTGTTCACGAGGGGAGGAATGTTTGTAGGGGTATGTGTGTGTGTGTGTGTTAACATTGAAGAAAATGTGTCACTTATGTTGTAACTCCTCTGAATCTTCTAACCTTATGCCTGCCTTTTTAATGCTATTTTTCTTCTTAGGAGTCAAGAAAAGAGAGACAGAGGTGTACATTGGCAATCTTCCTCTGGATATCTCTGAGGTATTCTTCACTCTCTAAGCGGCTGCTTCTTCTCTTTGGTCTGCCCCACATGACTTATTAATCTGCCAGCAACTTAATTTTACCGGTTTAAAGACATTTTAGAGCTATGAATGTACAGGCAGTCACTAGTTGGTGACTAGACTGACCAGCTCGTCAAAATTTGCCTTGGACTTTCTGGTTTTAGCACTGAAAGCCCTGTGTCCTGCACGGTTAGCCCGCCACTCATCCTGTGTAAACCTGGATGGTTGGTCACCCTACTTACCGCTTTGGAGGGACGGAGGGGCCACAGTGAGGCAGCTTCTTTTTAGGAAGAGGGCTTATTAGGGTTCAGTTGTCGATCCTTTGGTCATAGGGAGCAGTCAGGTTTCAGCCAAAAAACTGCACTCATTTCACTTTGAAATGAACCAGTTGAGTCAGTGGGCTGTGTACTTAGAGACTGGAATGTAAACAGTAGTATTTTTGACCCTAGGAATCTTACTGTCTATTTTGGGGAGGCCAGACCAACAAACCTGAAAAAGTTATAGAACAACATAAGTACTTAAAATTTGTGATAAGTGCATTTGAAGTACAGATGAAAGGAAAATGGAAGTATACTCTACTGAATTGAAGCATATCCTGACTTTTTTTTTAAGCATGTACTATATGCAGAATAATGTGCTTGAAGTTCAGCATCCTTAAAGAGAAATAACCTTGCACTCAAGGAGCTCAGTCTTGGAAGAAGGATGAGAGAAACTAACCAGCTAACCCTTATGGAGCCCCTGCTGCAGGCCAAATGTTCTTCAAAAATTTCCTGGTCTCCGTGCCCCTGTGCCAATCAGTTAAACTCAACTTTCTCTGTCCAACTTGTACCTTATTCATTTTTCAGCACTTACTGTGTTTTAATGATCAGGCATGCTGCAGGAAATGGGCTAAATGCTTCATTAGTGTGGTTTTATTAAATTCTTATAATAACTCCGGGTGGTGGGTGGTATCTCCATCTTGGAGATGAGGCAGCCAAGGATCCTTAAGAGGTTGAATCCCTCAGCCAAGTACACAGACCTAGCGAGTGTCAGCCAAGAGTTGAGTCCACATCCAGTTGCTCCCAGGTAACAAACCACATAATAAGACATGTAAATAACTTCCTGTAATAAAGATGGACCTATTATGTTTTCATGTGACAGAGAGAGGAAAAAATGATATTGGAGCACAGAGAAGGAAGTAATTCATTTTGACCCAGTAGATAAAATCATAATCAAAGGGCTGGGTTGGGAGATTCTTGGCACCTGGTAGAAGAGAGTATTGGGGCTGATTCCCTTTCCCCTTCTTGGCAGGCTGGTACAACCTGTTACTTGACAGCGAAAGGGGGATGGGAGCCCCTGCGGACTGTTCTTGTGGTGGTCTGAGGGAGGCAAGGTACCGAGCAGCTCTGCCACCCCTCTCCAGTATACCGTATTTCAAAGCCCAGCACCTGGGGCTTGCTTGGCCATGCTGTCCCACACAGTGGTATTGGGGACTTTGGTCCTCGTCCCCTTCACAGGAAAGCAGCAGCCTTCCCCACAGTGCTTTCTGTCAACTTACAAACTCAGACCAGCCTCATAGGAAAGACAGGAGCTAAAGGAGTAGGATTTTAAAAAGAAATTTCTGTCTAAAAGAAATTATTGCCCTTTCAAGAACTGTGAATTGAGTGTCTGAGACTTCACTCTACTTGCAAACCAACAAATCGGCCTGCAGTGGTTTCATGCTTGTTGGTGGAAGATGAAAGTCTTGGATCAGAGCTGAAGGATGATTTATTACTCATAGCAATAACAGTTGCCAGCATTTTTATTTTTTACTATTCATTGTACTAACATTTCTTTTTTTAATTGAGATAGACTTCACATAACTTAAAATTCACTATTTTAAAGTGTACAGTTCAGTGGTTTTTAGTATATTCACAAGGTCTTGCAACTATCACCATTGATTCCAGAACATTTTTATCACCCCCAAAATAAACCTTGTACCTATTAGCAGTCCCTTCTCCTTCCCTCTTCCTCCTAGCCCCTGGCAACCACTAATCTACTTTCTATCTCTATGGATTTGCCTATTCTGGACATTTCATATAAATGAAATCATACATGTGGCATTTGTGTTTTCTTAGCATAATGTTTTCAGGGTTCATCCATGTTATAGCATGTCTCAGTACTTCATTCCTTTTTATGGCTGAATAATATTTCATTATATGGGTATACTAGGATTTGTTCATTCATTTGATGGACATTTGAGTTGTTTCCATTTTTTGGCTATTATGAATAATGCTGCCCTGAACATTGGCATACAAGTTTTTATGTAAACATATGTTCCAGTTGTCTAGGGTATATACCTAGGAATGGAATTACTGGGTCACATGATAACTCTTTGCCAAACTATTTTCCAAAACAGCTGCACCATTCCACATTCACATCAGCAATGTATGAGGATTCCAATTTCTCTGCTTCCTCACCCAAACCTGTTATTGTCTGTCTTTTTGATTATAGCCATCTAGTGGCTGTGAAGTGGTATCTCATTGTGGTTTTTATTTGCATTTTCTTAATAACAAATGAGCATCTTTTGATGTGCTTATTGGCCATTTGTATATCATCTTTGGAGAAATAGATATTCAGATCCTTTGTCCATCTTTAAATTGGTTTGTCTTTTTATTATTGAGTTGTAAGAGTTCTTTATATATTCTGGGTACGTCTCTCATCAGATATATGATTTGCAAATATTTTCTTCCATCATTTATATTTTCACTTTCTTTATAGTATCCTTTGATACATAAAAATTTTTAATTTTGTTGAATTCCAATTTTCTATTTTTTCTTTGGTTGCTTGTGCTTTAGGTGTCATATCTAAGAATCCATTGCCTAATCCAAGGTCACAAAGGTTTACACTTATGTTTTCTTCTTAGAGTTTTATAGTTTTAGCTCTTGTATTTAGGTGTACGATCCTTTTTTTTTTTTTTTTTTAATAATTTTATTTATTTATTTATTTTTCCCCCAAAGCCCCAGTAGATAGTTGTATGTCATAGCTGCATGTCCTTCCAGTTGCTGTATGTGGGACGCGGCCTCAGCATGGCTGGAGAAGCAGTGCGATGGTGCGTGCCTGGCATCCGAACCCGGGCCGCCAGGAGCGGAGCGCGCTCACTTAACTGCTGAGCCATGGGGCCGGCCACGATCCTTTTTGAATTCATTCTTGTGTATGGTGTGAGGGATATATGGTAGGGGGGTCAACTTCATTCTTTTGCATGTGGATATTCAGTTGTCCCAGCAGCATTTGTCAAAAAGATTATTCTTTCCCCATTGAATTATGTTGGCACCCTTGTCAAAAATCAGTTGGCCATAAATGTAGCAATTTATTGCTGGCTTTCATTCTATTCCATTGATCTTTATGTCTGTCCTTATACCAACACGACATTTGCTTACTGTAGCTTTGTCGTGAGCTTTGAAATTGATCACTCACTTACTCTTGAACCTACTGTTTTGCTTTCTACCCTCACCAGTTTTCTGAAACTGTTCTTGCTGAGTATACAAGTAACCTACATGATGCCAAATGATAGATTAATTAACTAATTATGATAGATTGGATAAGCTAAAACCTTCTCACAAGAAAAAACATGGAAATAAGGGCTAAAATGTAAGAAATACCGCTTCTAAAAAATAGCTGAGACCTAGGAAAGTAAGGAAAATTAAGAGGGCCCAAAATAAGAAGTAACTAAAAACCAGAAGAGTGTGGGCGATACCCTGGGGTCTCTTCCTGCCTCAAAACCCAAAGGGCTTAGATTATGACAGCCATGTCGGGATAGGAGATGACAACCCGGGCCTGTGTGAGGAGGGGAGTGGTAACTGACAACACTGCAAAAGCAGGATCCTTGAAGGGCTGGACCTTCAGTGAAATTGTGAACCACAAGAACTTTGCTCACTGGCTCAGGGTGGTGTTGAGGGAGCTGATCTGTCTTGGCTGGATCTGGGGCTGGTGGGGCAAGCAATCTCCCCAAGAGCATATAACAGTAGGCCTGGTTTCATGTGAATGGGGTTTAAATTCATATTATCTGTATGGTCTGGGAAACTTCAAGTTAAAAATTAACGTTTGATAAAGTTAAAAACCAAATTCATGAAAAAACACTTAAACTAAGAATAGAAGGAAACTTCCTAAATCTGAAAAAGAGTATCTACAAAAAATATACAGAGGGCCGGCCCCGTGGCTTAGCAGTTAAGTGCGCGTGCTCTGCTACTGGCGGCCCGGGTTCGGATCCCGGGCGCGCACTGACGCACCGCTTCTCCGGCCATGCTGAGGCCGCGTCCCACATCCAACCACTAGAAGGATGTGCAACTATGACATACAACTATCTACTGGGCTTTGGGGAAAAAAAGGAGGAGGATTGGCAATAGATATTAGCTCAGAGCCAGTCTTCCTCAGCAAAAAGAGGAGGATTGGCATGGATGTTAGCTCAGGGCTGATCTTCCTCACACACACACACACACAAAATACAGAAAACATTATCATTTGGGAAACAGAAGTATTTTAAGATCAAGAACAGACATGAATACCTCTGTCATCTCTTCTGTTTAGCATTTTATGAGAGGTCTTAGGCAGAGCAAGTGAGAAAATAAAAAGAAATAAAAGGTGTAAGGATTGGAAAGGAAAAAACCAAAACTGTCATTATTTGCAGATGACTGCCTAAGTTGAAAGCCTAAAAGAATCTTGGACTTGTTAGAATTATTATGAATTAGCAGAATGGCTGAATATAAGATAAATATACAAAAGTCAATTGTATTTCTATACAAGAGGAACCAAAAATACAAGGAGCTAGAAAAAAATCTGATAAAAGTTGTGAAAGACATATATACAGAAAATTATGAGACTTTATTGAAAGACATTAAGGAAGACCTAAATAAAGAGATGGATAAGACGATTCAGTTGTATGATCCTTAAATTGATATATAGATTCAATGCCATTGTGATCAAAATACCCAAAGGTTTTCCAAAGAACTTGACAAGCTGATT